ACATCTTTGCAAATGATTAAGTACAGTTAGCCTACAGTTAGCACAGTTAGCCTACATTTCCAAGTGAATAGATCCTGTTGATCTAAACTGATTGATTGATTCTCAGTCTAATGGTTGTTCTCTCCAAAACATGTCAGCATCATTTCATTCTATAAGTCATCACATGCAAATAGTCTGTTCAATTGTCAAAATGAGTCAACATAATCATATCAACATAATACCATGAAAACCATATACTGTATTTATTTACAGCACTGTAGGCTACATATACTTTTGTTTTTGTTGATGTGTTTATATAACAGTATATTATGCTTTATACATTTTCTTTTTATTCTGATATGGAGGTTACTTTATGTGTGTGAATACAGTTTTTCTCAATTGTTTACACACAAATACTGGTACTTGAGACACAATGACCACAACATGTGGAGATATAGCAGTTGATGCTTTTCATGGCTGGATTCGCCATGCTAGGTGATATTTCCCCCGCTGCTTGGCCAGGGAAAACATTGCTTGTGATGTGGATGAGGTGCTGTGGCCAGACTGAAACAGAAGAGAGGATGCAGCATAGTTTATTTTACTGTAACTGTATCCAGTAAATTCTTCTGTTTTGTATGTAGACCACTGTATGTGTAACTTTGTGTTGGTCGGGATGTACACTGTGTACATTGTTTTTGTGGGAAAAATAAAATGTATTTGTTACCTTGTATTTGTGTGTTCTGAGTATAAAAACAATATTCTTAAATATTTTACAACACACTTATGTATGTACTGTCTGTAGTAAGTGTAACACTGAACAAATAAAGGCCTAAGTCATTATGATGAATGGAGAAGAAGTGTTTTCCATTCATCATAGTGTTTTACATTGAGCACATCAGTGTTCAACTGGTTCTTATAAATGTCTATTCATATGATGGTTTGTGTGTGTCATTTGAAAATAAAATAAGAAGAAATAACATTGTTTTATATGTAAAGTTTCCTTTTGCAGGATAATTGAGGGGTTTTGCCCATTGTGTGTGTGTGTTTATTAATTTGTGTGTAGAGTTCTGAGATTATGAGGCATGCTTTCGGAAAATGTGTGTAAACAATCGAGAAAAACTGTAAAAATGGCTACCTTTCCTTGGCAGTGGGAGTGCAATGTGTGATGTCAAACCTTTAGAGGCTACTCCTACCCAAAAATGCTGTTTTTTTATTTTTATTTTTTCAGTTTTATACACAATTATATTCTGTTAGCTAGACAAAAAAAGTAACCATTGTGAATGAAGGACTGGGCTAAGACTGAGAGGTGGACATGAGGGACATGGTCCTCTGCCATGGTAACAAAACATCTAAACATTTTGACTTGCAGTGCTTACACAATGCCAAAGGGCCAATGCAAATGAGAAAGGATCTTTTGCCTTTTGGTGGCACTGACTATTTATATGGGAAAGGAATTTAGTTTTGAAGCATGAGTGAACAGTTTTGGGAGAGATATGAGCTTTTGCAAGTGAACTGTGGTGTTGTGCTGAACTGTAAGACTGTTTTGCCAAATGATCTTAGAGTTTTGAGAATGTAATTTCTGTTTCGAGAAATGAGCCAAACCAATGGAGAAAAACTAACCACAGACAGACAGACAGACAGACAGACCATCATCAAAGGTGTTCTCACATATTTTGCCTGATTAGAGCTGTTTTGTTTAATTGATATATTCAGAACTTTCCTGATAGTTTTGTTGCACCTGTTAGATAACAGACAGACATGTCTTAGCAGGAAAACCCCAGGTGTAATTGATAACTGCAAAACCGACTGCATTCCATTTAGATAAGCCAGTCTCAGGGTCCTGGTATCGCACATGCTGGCTCGCTGTTTCCTGCTTGTGAAAAAGGGTTAGAGTAGTAGATTTGAGTTTGTTCACCTCAGCAAACTTTCCTGTAATTCGATCTACTGCTCCCATTCATTGTCATTTATTGTTATAGACCTAAAGTGATTCTTATGTTCTCCAATTGTAAAAATGTGTAGCCATCTTTGTATCAGTTGACACATGTATCACTTCGGTTTACCTGTACTCTTTATAGGCACAAAAATGTCTTACCTGTCTCATCAGGGCAGGTGCTTAGGAGTGGAATGAGTATCCAAAAGTAGATAGCTTGATACATTCCTGCACACTGTCCAACTTGCAATTCAAACATTTATTTGTCTGATGAAAGTATCGAGTACCGAAACGTTGCAGATAAATGTTTGAATTGCAAGTTGGACAGTGTGCAGGAATGTATCCTTTTTACCTGTACTCTTAAAGACCTAATACACAAAAAGACTAATACTGAAAACCTAATAAAAGTGTAGCCATTTCACACATAATAAATAAAAAAAAGTTTTAATAATGGTCAGTCCAGGCGGGCAGTGTGGCTAAGCTAACTAGCGAACAGCAGCAACATGTGGCAGCAGTTACTTTACTGTCCATCAGGAAAGTCTGTATATCACCAATAGTGAAGGAGGAGCAGCCAGAGGACATCAGAGGGAAGACCAGAAAACATTTTCTCCATAAAATATGATCCAGTTTCACCAAACTCAGTGACTGCTGTGTGTTACCAACATGCTCTGACCCGAAACCAAATGTTACATCCTGCAAGAACAAGTGTACGAGGTGCAGAGTGGGAATGACAGAGTCAACATTCACCCTCTTACAACTCAGTAGAGCATCAACATGCTTTTGGAGCTGTTACTTTATGGTAGAAAGGTAGTTACTTTTTATGTCCCATTGGACATTATCCTGTTGATTGAAAAAAAAAAAAAAAAGCTCATACATGATAAATGTTAATGGTTTATTCTAGTATCATAACGTTCTCCTGTCTCCGTCAGGTGGAAATGTCCTCATACTGAACACATGGGGTGAGCAGGCGGGCCCTCACATGCAGGCTCTGCACTTCAGCTTCGCGGCCGGGGCCTTCGTGTCTCCGATCATAGCCAAGCTGCTGTTTGGGCCCGACGGGAACAGCAGCACAGGAACCACACCCACCAACTCTACACCTCCTGTCACCACAGAGCAGATCACCAAAGCCCCGGACGCTAACGCAATCCTCCACTGGGTCCACAGCAAGAGCAGCACCCTCAAATCCATGTGGGCCTACGTTGTGATCGGCTCTTTTGTCTTCCTCATCTCCTTCCTCTTCTTCATCCTCTACTCTCGCAGCAGCATTTCACGGGACAAAGCCCGCACGCCTTCAGGGAAGCCCCTGGTGGCCAAACATCACATGGCTCTTGTTGTCCTGCTCTTCTTCTTCTTCTTCGCCTATGTAGGTGCCGAAGTAGCATACGGCTCCTTCATCTACATCTTCGCCAAGGATCACGCTCACATGGATCAGTCCCAGGCAGCTGGACTCAACTCATTGTTCTGGGCCACATTTGCCGCCTGCAGGGGGTTGGCCATCTTCTTTGCGGCCTGCATGTACCCGGGTACCATGATCCTGCTCAGCCTGGTGGGCTCCACCGTGTCCTCTCTGCTCCTCTGCCTCTTCAGCAAGAAGAACGTAGCCCTGTGGATTTGCACCGGTCTGTACGGTGCATCAATGGCCACCACCTTCCCCAGCGGTATCTCCTGGGTGGAGCAGTACACCACGGTGACGGGCCACACGGCAGCGGCCTTTGTGGTTGGCGCAGCGCTGGGTGAGATGGTGCTGCCTGCTCTGGTAGGCTTCCTGCTGGGGAAGTTCCAGGACCAACCCCTGCTCATGTACCTGGCGCTCATCACCTCCACCTTCACCTCCATCCTCTTCCCGGTCATGTACAAGCTGGCTTCGGCCCCCAGCGGCCAGAGCAGGAAGCCCCGCGCCAGGGGCCGGCCTGACGCAGATGACAGCGAGTACCGCCAGGCACTGCTGGACTCGGGAGCTAACGAGGAGGAGGAGGAAGAGGAGGATCAGGACAACGAGGCCGATCAGTGGAACGATGCAGACTTTGAGGTCATTGAGATGGACGACACAGCGAGTCTCGTCAGTTCACCCAGCAAGGCTTCCTCTCCTCCTGACATCCCCGGCCTAACAGGAAGCTCTGCTGCCTCTAACAGCCAGGGGACAGAGCCTGCAGCTGGAGACTCTTTCTCAGACACCATCTCCCTGGTGGGAGACTCCCCCAGACGCAAACTACTGCTCTCTCTGGACAGAGAGAAGAGAGACTGAGAACTCCTGTGATTTCTAAGTGCTCCCTAAACTCTAATAGAGCCGTGCCTCTACATGTCTGTGCTCGTTTGTCTGTCCAGAACCTGAAAACCCCAATATTTATGAACACTTCTGATGATTTACTGTGCAGTGAATGCAACACTGACGACTGACCGAAACCTGTGCAGCTTGTAAACCAGTATGTGGACTCAAAGTTTGGATTTTGCACAGACTCATCAGCATCTTTTAAAGCTCCTCCTGAATGATGAAGGACCGGTAGGGGTCGACACGTTTCATCTGTAAATGTGTAGATCTGAATATTTGATTTGGAGTAGTCTTTTTACGACGGGTTGCCTTCCTGACCCAACCCTCCCCATTTATCTGGGCTTGGGCAGTTAGGAATGGACTGGTTTGTCCATCAGCAGTGGCTCAGGGCCAAACTGGACTTCAGTATCTCGCTGAAGGACACTTGGACAACATGTGAACTGGAGGTGAAAACCGACGACCCTCTCTTCCACCTGAGCCACCCCCCGCCTAAGATTATACATTGATTCTCTACAGGGGGTCTGTTGGCCTGCCCCCCTCCAGTGCTCATGGTAAGCTAGAGAACAGGGCTGGTAGAATCCTGTGCCTTGCTTGAGGACACATGATCTGAGTGGATGCTCCACTCTGCTGCCAAATGCTGAAGTTTTAAAACTAATTTAATTTTGCACTACTGCAGTGATGATAGTTGTAAGATTTGAATGGAGCTATTTTTTTGTTGAACTTGAAATTGTAAATATGAGATTTGTGATGTACTGTAATGTGTCCTGTGACTTGCAGTTCTCTAAATCACACGTGTTGTCTGTGAGTCATTGACAGGAGCCGTTTTAATACATTGACTTTTTATTATATCAATCTCAAACCTCCACCCACAGCGATGTCCATTAAAAACAAACAAAAACAACACCTCCTTCATTATTATTTTTTACATTTATACAAATACACAGGTCCTGTGTACGGCTGTATGGAGAATAGAAGATTCAATCTTGACGCGCTTTGATGACATTTTTTGCACTGAAAATCGGAAACGTACACAAATCCATATATGCACAAACAATAGACTCTTTTTGACATAAATTAATATCAAAATACGGTATTGCAACAGTCCCAGATTCTAAAAACTGAAATGGTTTCCAGTCCCACACTATAGAGTGTGAAGTGTCAAATCTGCCAAAGTGGACATCAATACAATCAATGTTAAAAGGAACATGTCATTCTCTAACAGAATGCATAAAAACATTTGATTGCATTCATGGCCGGAGCTTTCATTTTTTTAATGCTAATGCACAGTGAGATTATAGATGGAGCTATACAGGAACTATTTACAGAAAGACTGCAGTTGATATAAAAATGAAGAAAAGTCAATTAGTGGTTTGAATGTAGTTTGTCTTGAGATTTGAAAGGAAGTTCCTTTCAGTGACTTCAAACTGCTACAGCGCACATGAGACAATTCCTCCTGGATTGGACTGCACTCAGTTCCATGACAGGCAGTCTGTCGCTGTGTCACCAAAAACATCAGCTTTACTCAGCCCATAGCAGCTACTGGAGATGGCAGCAAACAAACATGAAGACAAACACAAGCTTGAGGGAGGGAGGGAGGGAGGGAGGGAGGGAGGGACGCTCCTCACAGGAGGCTCAAACCAGAGTCTGCACACGCAGAGAAATACTTAACAGTTACAAGACAAATGAAAACCCAACAGGGTTCAATCAAAGCACCATTTAAACTATTACAACTGAATGGACAATGAAACACTGGGGGTGGGAGGGGGCAGCAATTAGCACCAAATCAGTGGAGAGCTCCGGGGTTCAGGAACCAATCAGAACTGCTCCAGCAGCTGTCGGAGGTACGGCGCCTTGGAGAGCTGTCTGGTGACCCGAGACAGCTTGTAGAGGACGGGACAGTCCAGAGACACACAGGGCACGTGCCGCTCTGCACAGCCGCTACAGTTCCTACAGATCTGGACACACACACACAAACACAAACACAAACACACAAACACACACTATCATTAAATGACCCAATATGGATATTTAATTTTGTATTCAATGCATAACAGTAGAGAACAGCTGATAAACTGTACAATGAACCCAAACAGTGAACACAATAACTGCCAAGTGCTATAAGATTATTTCCTGTGAATATTACATCAGAGATATTCTTTATACTTTTTACTGTCTCCGGCCTTACAACCCCCTCTGAGGTTTTAGAGACTTCTAGTGGAGGTCAGGACTCCAGGTTAGAAACCAAAGCTTTAGAAAAGAGTCTGAAAGATGTGAAAAGTATTTGATCTATGTTTCCCTACCCTTCCAGCTCAGAGTGAAACCACTGGTTTAATGGTGCTTTATCTATATGACATCTGAACCAACCCATAGCGACTGGGTCAAGGTCTGGTTTGATTATCAGATTTGGTCTTTATAGTTACAAGAAGGAAATGATTGCCAAACAGGGACAGTGAATGTGGGTATATACAGTTTAGTATAGACATTTGCCATATATAACATAACTATTGATATCACTAAATGCATGTGTTTTTGTTATGAGGAGAATAAAAAGGTTTGTGAACTGAAAACAAGATAAACATGACAACTATGCGAGCCAGCAGTCTCTCACCTTCAGCAGCTGGTCTTGCTGACTCTCCCACTGTCTCATGTCCTGGTAGAGTGTAACCGCGACTCGCTGGGGCTCGGCGCGGCACCGTGAGCACACGCCCAGCTGGGTCAGCTCGTCGCACACGGGGCAGTGAAGCGTGGTGAAGTACTGGGAAATGGTTCCCTTCCTCCCCCCTTCCTCTCCACCCATCGCCGAGGAGCAGGACGCCTTCTGGATCTGTGTGCAGAGACAAGAGAAATCATACATGAAAACTCTTTGAAGGGCTGACAATCCCCCAATGTATTTCATTGTCCTACAACATTGTCAGGATTATGTAGAAGATAACCGCAGCCTTATGACTGAAAAGTTGGATTAAATTGTAAAACACGGGAGGAAGAAAGGAGGGGAGGAAAAGAGATGGACTGACATTTTACAGTTACATCCAGTTTTGCAAATGGCATGATGTGAAAAATATAAAAATATTTCTTCATAATCCTGTCGTAGTTGATCCTCTGGGATACATATGGTGACTCTGGGTATTAATTAAGTGTCATGGTTCAGTTCTGGAGCCAGTGCTGAAACCTGTCTGACTTGGAGCCAGCTATGGTCATACAGTTGAGATGTGGCAGTGTCATGGACCATATGTGGCTACCCGATCCGGACCACCTGTGGGCTGTGACTGGGATGGACCAGTTTTGCTATGTGGGGGCGTAGCTGCTTCATTCACACAATGCTGTATGGTCATTCATCATTTGAAACTCTGCTTTCAGCTCCACCAGCAGGTGGCGTGTGTGCTCTGTGAGACTAGAAGCTGACTTCAGTGTTGATACAAAGACAGAGGCAGCAGCCCGCAGTTTGATGAATCTCATTCGATCCTCAGCAGGAAGCAAGGGAGAGATTTTCTCTTCCTCCTTTGTTCTCTCTCCACTAAATGCACTGAGTGAAACCTTTTATTTTGACAGGAACCAGTGCTCTCTCTATTGTGTTCAACAGTAAGCTGGTCAGTTATCAGTCAAACATATGGTTATGGTTATTAATCAGTCATTTATGCTCCTTTTGCCTACTTTTATTCTGAAGGTTTTCATGGGGGTGCTACGTAAATTATCACCCTCAGTCATCTGCAGAGTTGAGATAAAACCATAATGGCTGCTCATTTCCGGTCATGAAATGGAAACTCCTCTCAGTCTCACCCGGGGGAGCTCCTGGTACCAGCTGAACACGTCCACTCCGATCAGCTGGAACATGCGCGCCAGTGGCGGCAGGATCTGCTTGGTGATGTAATAGGTGGCGTTGAGGCGGAGACTCGGGTCCTGCAGCACCTCCATGGGCCGCCGCACCAGCTGAATGAGGGGCACACCAGGCATTCCATATACAACCACGTAGGGCACCCGCTCACCCACGCGCGGCTCCAGACGACGGTCGTACGCCATCATCCTCCTGAGAGGAAAGAAAACACAAAACGTTCATCCTAAGTGTTGGAGCTCAGAGCTTTTAGTTTGACCTCTTCTAGTGGAAATGACTGTAAAACCTGTCCAATCATTCACACCAGAAATCCACAAACAACTCACCTGATAAATACATAACATAAACTGTACTAGTGTTCATGAATGAGGCTCAATATTTCCCTCTAAAATTTTTTTTTTTTCTCACACATTAAGAGCTGGGTTGCCTAGCAACAGACTCAGGTACTGTACATTGAGGTTAGTGCAGCCAGACAATGAGCACTGTGGGGAAGGAGTAATTGGATTCACACTGACTACTGTAACTGTTGACAGCAAGCTCTTTCTCACTCTCCTGCGCTCTCTCTCACACACACACACACACACAGACACACACAGACACACACAGACACAGACAGACACACACAGACACAGACACACACACAGACAGACACACACACACACACACACACACACACACACACAGACACACACAGTGAAACTAAGGACTTTCTCTGTCTTTTGGTGTGGTGTTTCTCTGCGTGTGGCAAATTCCCACTGACACATGCTGTCACACTCTCACACACACCTGGTGAGCTCCAGGGCAGGCACGCAGGCTCCGGGCCGGTACGAGCCACTGCCCCGGTACTCCTTGGCAAAGGTCAGGTCCTGCATGCTGGCCCGGCCGTCCAGAACTTTGACACACTGACGCTGCACGAAAAGCTTCACCTGGCTGATGTCCCGAGTCTCAAACAGCAGCTTAATGGAACGCTCCAGAATCTGGGGAGGACAGAGGAGAGAACAAACAATACTATAAAATATATATATATATATTTAAATATAATAAAAGCACAAATGAGAGTTCAATCCCATGATATTTAAACAGGATTGTGAGGGTTAACAACGGGACATTTCAGGGTCTAGACACAAAACCAGCCATGTCCCCGAGCAGGCAGGGCCCTTTCCCCTGATTGACACATGTGAAGTAGTCTGAGTGAACGAGAGCGGGAGGAAAGCTTGTGTGGCTGTGATTGGTGTAGAGCACAGTGAGACGGGGGTTGTCAGTTTGCCTGTTACCTTGGAAACAGCAGGGCAGCCGTCGCGCCGCACTGTCTCGATCCCTTTAGCGTCAAACACGGGCTCCTTTTGGTCAAGGCTCTCGTACATGTAGCCCACATAGCGCTTCTTTGTCTGCAGCACACAGGGCAGGTACACCTGGAAACACACACACACACACACGATCAATAATTCCCTCAAATGTGTGGATGATGAGAGAAAATTGGCACAGAATGACACAAATCCAAATCAAAGTGCAGACATTACAGAGAGGCTGTGTGTGTGTGTGTGTAAGCACTACCTTCTCAAACTTAAGTTTGACTGGCTTGGGGTTGGTTGCAGTCACTGCCTCAGCGATCTCGTTGCCGATCTTGAAGGCCTGCTCTTTGGTGGCTCCCTTCAGCAAAACAAACAAGCTGCAAAACACACACACACACACACACACACACACACACACACACACACACACACACACACACACACACACACACACACACACACACACACACACACACACACACACACACACACACACACACACACACACACACCGAGCAGTCAATCCATCTGTGTTTTATGTCATCACCACACAGAGAAAATAAATAACATAAGCTTAGGTGATCTGTCAGTGCTCAAAAAGTTGGATCAGCTGGAGTGATCAGAGATCTAATTTCTAAAATGTAAAATAGCTGCTTAAAGGCAGCGAGAACTGCCACTAACAAACGTACGCCCCTTACTTCAAGGACACACCTGAAACTGCTCTCCCTCCATTCTGCTCCAGTGACATAAACTGGAGATACAGCGAATCACTTTGGAACACATTGCAAATGGATGTCCTGAGTAATTTCATATGGTACAACAGTATGTCACCACGCTACAGTCTTTGGATTGGTTCTAATGGTTTCCACCCAGTTTTAACAATGAAAGCTGGGAGTAAGTCCTCAGTCTCTATTCAGCGAAGCATCTGGAGAGTCTAGGACTACCCTGGTGGCCTGGTGGGTTAGTGCTGAACATGAAATGTGACATGTTGCAAATTGCCCGTCTCTTGCCCCCTATCTTACTGTCATCTCTCTATTGTTGGCTGTCAAATAAAAGGCATAAAAAATACCCCCAAAAATGCATTTCAGCTGATGAAAGTCTTGTGGTGGGTCTGTATTTATCCCTCTTTATACACAGCAGTGCTCTGCCTGAATGCATCCTGTGTGCCAATGGAGGAGTGAAGTGGATGAAATACACTGTGTAATTTTTGGACTACTTTCTTTCTAAGACTGGCCCAGATCTCCTCTTTGGTGTCTGTGAAACACACGATAAAAGCAAAAGGCCCTATCTACAGCCAGTGTTTGGTTTGTCCCTTCTGGGCTTTTGTAGAAACATGGTGGTTCAACATGGCGGCCTTAATGGAAGGGAACCCAGTGTCTGTAGATAGAAACGTCTCATTCTAAGGCAATAAAAACACAACGACTCCTATATTCAGGTGATTATACACTAATGGAAACATACTTGTGAATATCATATTCCACTTCTGCCAATAGAGCCTCCTAAATGTTACACACTGGACCTTTAACAAAGTACACAAGGACCTCCTCGTGTCCACTCTGGGGACCCTGCCCTGAACTCCGGTCTATCTGGGTACTGTATTGGCAAAAAAAAACTATTTAGTGATTATGGACGTCTGATGCAATGCCTTCCTTTGAGATGCAGCTGAGAGAACTGGGCGAGATCCTCCATCAAGACTGCACCAAAGAGAAGTGTTGTGGCATATGGCATAGTGCTGAGACATTTAATGGTACAGCAGTAACTGAATATAGATTTACTTTCTGTGTATTCTACATTTTTTTCCTTGTTTTGCTCTCTTAGTTTGTGATCTAGTTTCCTGACATGGTTTTTGTTGTGTATAGAATCCACCAACTAATCAGAATGGCACAAGGCCATTATAAGTTTATTATTGAAAGAAAATGAAAAAACAAGATTGCTTATAATAGATTGTACTCAACAACAACCTGCAATAGAAATATTCTTCACAAAGTACACAGGAGACAAAAGGTTGATTCCTGCAGTTTAAAACTTCACTGCTTTTAGAATTGAAACATTGTAAGAACAAAAACTCTCCAGATTGCTTGTACAATAGAGTAGATGCAACCTTTCTGTAAGAGAATTAATACAAGCTAGTTGTCAAAACACTACATCTGATTGATGAGGAGGCAGTACAGGTGCTCCCAGAGGCTCTCAACTCATCAGAAAGCAGTGACACATGAACAGAGCTGCCGCTGCAGCGTTAACAGCGGTTGAGAGACGGCAAACAGGAATCACGAGTGTGGCAGTTGTGGCTTCACGCTGACAGGAGTTTGTATCATTATGAGCGTGTACAGCACAGACACTCAACTTGCAAACAAATATGAATATTTATCAGATAAAATGAATAAACATTAAGATCGCGGCTACCAGGCCAGAATGCTGCGCTGAAACTAGCATGTTTCCACTCCTGATATTAGCAAGCTTGCATACAGAAATTGTCATTTGGCTCATTAAGAACAGTGGTTCGGGGAGGGTCTGAGGTCGCAACTCTAGTTTTCAGTGAATTGGATTTTTTTTGTCGACCTTTTAATGCTTGCTGTCCTCATTCATCTTTGCCAACAGCAGGTTTCCCGCTCTTTTAAAAAATATCATTTTCCAGGACTTGCCAGGAGTTTACAATATAGGACAGCACTTGCTCACAAACAGTTCTATAACTTACCGGTAGGCCTAGCAATGACACATTTAACCCTGGTTAATGCAGGGTTTATTATTAAGTGTCTCAGATTCCTTACAGGTAGGTGGTCAGCATTTATGGGACACTCCCAGGGTCCATGGGAACCCTGCAGGAGGCTAATCCAGCCACAGAAGGTCAGGTGAATGTGATCTTTTAGCAGGGCACTGCACAGATTGCTGGCTAACAACTTCCCAAGTAACAGCCAATATTTGAACATTGGAATAAACAAGTAAAAAAACACTCACCAGGGTGAATTAATTTATTTACATGGTGAATTAGTAAATAGTCAGTGGGACAGATTTATACAGTATGACTTCCAGCTTGACCTGCTGCTGGATGACTATAGCTTTCCAAAGATGGGGTGCAGATTAAAAATATTAAAGCCTACCTGTCGGTGTCTCCATACACAACGCGTGCTCCCCATTTCTTAGTGTCATTGACCATCTTGATGGCTCTCTCCAGGGTCTCTCTGGCTTTGTGGACGATGCTGTCTCCAACCTGGAAACCACAGGGGAGACAATCATAAACAAAAACTGCCTTTAAGGGTTTGAGAGTTGAAGTTTCAGAGGGATTAAGTTAGCATTTGGAAAACCTCATCTGACACTAGAAATGAAATATTTCTCATGAAAATATGTGTTGTCCTATCCATTTCACCACAGATGGCTTTAAATATGGTGATATTTAAAAACAAAACCAACACAAAGCTGCTGTCCTAGTCATTAATGTCTTCAAGTTTTCTGCTGAATTTCCTCTGAGATCGGTAGCCTTTGGTAGACTGTGTACTCTCAGTGCAGACAGCTGACAGTATTGATGAACTTACCTCCACGCTGGGCATGCGTCCGGAGTAGTTGGCGGCGGTGTAGCCAAAGGTGACGTTTGCGATGAGCTTCAGCCCGAGCTGCCTGGCGTGCAGCAGTCTCATCAGGGCCTTGTCCTGCTTGTGGGCTTTCATTGACTGCTTCACCATGATCCGCGTGTTGAGGATTTCCTCCAGCATGCTGGGCAGGACCCCTTTACGTACTGAGGACTGGAGACAAACAACAAAAGGGGTAAACACGTTGGTACAAACGAGGACAGATCCAGCAAACACAGCAGTTATCAGAATAAAACAAAACTTGTATGCCCCCTGAAACAACATCCTCACTAACAGCAAAAACTGTGTACTATAAAGATGAATATATAATTCACACTGTATACAGATAGTATGTAGTATTTCTTCAGCAACATCAAGCTGATTTTTTGATAAAATGCAGCTAAAAAGAAACAAAATCAGATCCAGACCAAACCTGAATTCCCTCTGTGCCTTTTAATAACCTCATTACACATCAGTGTTCACTGCGCCGTGGCCGTGTGTGTGTTTTGTGTTATGTAATGAGACTGCGGGACTGGAGCCAGGGAGTGTGGAGCAACGAGTGAATGAATGAAAAGCATGAATGGAAGGAAGCAGAGCATGAAGTGGGGTTTTTCTCTAGCTCGGCCTTTAACAGCAGCTGATGACCCTTAATAACCCTGCACCACTGGAGGAGCCAGAGAGATGATTCACACTCGGACCGGGTGTTCTTCCAGGACAGCGTTAAAGTGAAATCTCATCAGAGCGGAGGGTCAGAGGATGCCGTACCTTGACGAAGGCGATGCCGTTGGGTGACACGGTGATGTCATTGCGGAGCTGGTAGAGGAGCTCCGGAGGAACCCGCAGGGAGGTGCAGCCGAACCTAAACTCATCAGGCCTGAAACAGAGAGACATAATTCAAGAGAGGAAATTCTCATCCTTTCCTAGGACTCACTGTGCTGCTGCCACTGCAGTATTCTCCTTTCTACACCGGTAACATCAGGTTAGACCACTCTGACAAGCCAAAGCCCCGCTACTGCAGCTTTGGGATTGGCTGCTGATGTATGATGCAACTTTTACAAAGGGTTTAACCTGAGCTAGAACATATAACAGCCACCATACAGGCTTAGTAGTATACAGCTGTTAAAATGTTTTATTTCTTAATCTTGTATCAGATAGGTACGTTTTAGTTTAGTCCTGTGATTCCCCACCTCCGGGTTGGGACTCATCTAAGGGGTCAAAACGTAAATGTGAGGGATTGCAAGATGATTGCTGGGATAGGAAAGAGAGAATGAGATACTTGATTGTTTTACTTAAGTCCTCTGACAGTCATTCCAAAGAAACAATGGAACTTAGAGCTTAGAGGGGAAAAATAAGTCTGAAAATACAAAAAATGTGTCCATTACAATTTCCGATGTCCGAGGTGATGTCTTCATATGTCTTGTTCCTTCCGACTGACAGTCCAAAAACTAAATGTTCAGTTTGCGATCATATAAAAACAGAAAATTGGCAGAAAATTTTTGCTTGATTTTTGGATTTTTCTGTGGCCATTTAATGCTGACATTTGTTAAATAAAGACTTGACTGTCTTATTCAAAAGGTAGAATTATGAGCTGTAAAATAACTGTATTGTATAAAATGCTTATTAAATAAACTCTGAGGTGCAGCAGTTTAATTGGATATTCTGAAATTCCCAACTATCCCGAGAATAATTTGCCACTTTCCACTCTGCTGAGAATGAAGAGTATGAAGCCACCACTCCTTTTTTCTTTTACCTTAGAGTAGTAGACGTATGCATGTTGGAAAGTAGTGTTCATGGCTCCTGCTGTTGCTATGCAACTACAGTAATCCTGGTGAAAAACCTGAAATATATCCTAACTTGCAGCGCTGACTGCTCTGAACATGCAGAGCTCTCAGCGTGCCTGTTCCATTAAAAATAATGAGGGAAGGAAGGCAGCACTAGGAGGAAAACTTTCCTGGCAGACATGCAACCTAAGCAAGTTGGACTACACGCTGTGGCTGTGTGGGCCTGTCATGTCCTTACGTTCCCAGGCTGTCCACGTGGCCAAGGCAGGTGGAGTAGCAGTAGTTGTACGCGATGACGATGGAGGGATAGAGCGACTGGAAGTCCAGTACAATCACTGAGTTGCTGTAGAAGCGAGACTCGGGCTCCATCACCAGAGGAATGCACTGCGGCGCCCTCTGCTGGGCTCGCTGCTGGATGCTGGGTGTCACAGGGATGTAGTTCAACGGCTTGGCCACGCGTAGCATCATGGACTCCACACGGTACTGTAGGGACAAAAAGGAAGAACATGATGATTGTTTGTCTATTCATTTATGCCTTAAGTTAACAAAAATAATGACGTATGGACAGTAATGATAAAATGAACACTACATCCAATAATTTCTCAAGATTAAATATTAGAACCTTGTAATTACTAAGCTGTCAGATGGTAGTGGTAACTGGCCATTAATTAATCAAATAATTGATTAATCTGTCAACCATTAACTGTCCCCCAAGATCCTTACCCTAACATTAAAAACACCAGAGCCAAAGTGGAAGTTAAAGCTGCATTCATTGACTTTTTTGGCCACTTTGGGAAAGTGGAACAAGTTGTACATACAATAATGACATTATCACGTGTAAGCAATTATTTAAAACATACAGCCGACCTTCATTTGGAGTGCTCCAATATTTACTCTCTTTTCAGCTCTGTTTTTATCTGATTCTTTAGCTGCTTAATGTTCTACTGCAGTGCTGATCAGGTTGCCTACAGTGGGCTTATCACAGTTTTTTCAGCTGTGTATGTGAATGGACCAAAATGTTAAAGGTATGAGCTGTAAAACCAAAACAATGAGCTCTGAAAGGCTAAAAAGCTCTGTAGAACTGAGGGGAACTGCAGAGCTGGGTACACTAACATGCTCACAATGACTAATACTAATATGTTGATGTTAAGCAGGTATTATGTTTACCATGCCCAGTGTCTTAGTTTAGCCTGCTAACATTTGCTAATGAGCACCAAACAATAGCTATGGCTGATTGGAATATTATTTGCTCAGCAGGTACATTTAGAGTGATACAGTTTTACGCAGCCTTTACATAATAATTAAACATGTATTTTCTCCTGGGATCCTTTTCATCCTCACTGATCAGCATTAACATGACATGTGCCGGGGTCAACATTTGAACCATCTCATACCATTAACGCTACAGCACAACTGTGGACCAATCAGAGAGTCCAGAATATGTCATGTGCGTGTTGGTACCTGTGATCCTCGGGTCAGAACGTGAAAGAACTGAATCCCAAATACTCTGGCCAGCTCACTGGTTCTGCCAATGATGTCTTGCTGCTGAAGAAGTTGCATGGTGCCACGCACATGGCTCATGTAGTGGTCTACCATCTTCCACCTAACACACACAGACACAGACACAGACACAGACACACACACACACAGACACAGACACACACACAGACACCAAAACCCCCCACAAACACACACACACACACACACACACACACACACACACACACACACACACACACACACATTTTATTGACCAGACGTTTACAAAGTGCTTTACAAAGGAACTGTGGAGCATATATAAAACTAAAAACAGTAATGAACACAAACTACTGTTTCAATCACTGTTTAATGTTTATGTAGTAGGCTATTTATATACAGTATGCGTTACTGTAAGTATTTGTTCTGAAGCAAAGTGCTTTGGTGTACATTTTTATTCGTGGGGGGGAAAAGCCAAGCCACAGGTCATGTTGATTCAAATAAAAATACACAGAATTTGCTGTGTGGTTTTAAAAAAACCTGTGTTCACATTTCTGGTGAAGTGTGTTTGGTAATGGCACAAACCTGTAGAGGTCAGTGTTGTGGTCAAACCAGTCGGACAGTGTGCGGGGACTGTACATGGGGAAGCGCTGGTGAAGTACATGGAAAGCCACGTTCTCAAAAGTGTAGTTGTTCAACGTAACCTGGAGGAAAGAATAAAAAACAAATTATTAGACCATTTCCTCAAAGTAGCTCCTCCATGACTTATACTGCAGGGTTTCCCGCAGCACTTTGCAGCTAAGGCATCCGCCTTAGCAACACACGCCTGCCCCCTTAACTACGTCGTCGTCAAAAAAAAAAGTAGGCCGAGTAATATGAGTAATATGAGCGATATCCGCCGTGTTACTCTATCCTGTTTTCTCCCTTTCATTCCAAACTGTGACCAATGCCAGTCTCCCTTCTCCGCAGAACGCATTAAAAAAATAATGAAAAACGTGCCATGAATCGGAAAATAAAGTTTTTATAATCTTTAAATATGTGATATGCCTCCGAATCGTGTGATGCGTCCGTTGTCATCGTTCGCCAAACATTCTACAACATTCTTTATTGGAAGACGTTCATCTGGCATTTGGATAGCCTGTCGCATCGAGGTAAGATAATTATTCTAAATTATCTAAATTCTATAAATACTTGAATAACCTGTAAACTGTTCGCTCCAAGGATCTGAAATTATTATGATAGGCGTAATGTTTTCTTATCAAGGCTAGTTGCGTTTACACGTGGTTGTCTTATAGCTATACGTTTGATGATTGCACGTGATTTTCTCTCCCACTGTACACAGCCAAATGGACAGAAAAACGCAACCAAAAATTGCGGGCTTCTTCGTACGACGAAGGCGGCCTACCTCACCATCCGCACTGCCCGCCTGGGGTTTTCCGCCAAATCCAAGTTTTTTGACAACTGTTGAACTTCACATGCCATATTTCTGTTGTGCTGTGATATGGTTACACATGAATTTAACTACTTGCCACGCAAAGCCACCATAGAAGCCTGTGACCAAGGGACTCCTTTTGTGCTATTCTGAGAAAAAAAACAAGCAACTGAGACCCAGCCTAAAACTGAAGAAATGGTCGGCACCATGCAGACAGCGGTAGAGAATTTGAATATGGTGATTCAGAGTAAACTAAAATACATATTTGCTCAAATGCAAGGCAAAGATTTCATTTCATAGTTCAATATTATTCAATATAAAAGAAATTAGGTGGCACAAATGCCCTCTGCAGCAGAAAACACTAACAGAGGCGAGAATGCTGCCTGAAAGGCTGGAGGATTGAGAGAAAGTGGGTCACAAGCTAGAGTGTTGATGGCTGACAACAGTTTGTGTGGGAGGGGGTGGAGGTCATGCCGGGACACCTGCCTCAGTCTTCATCACCCTCCACAGGTTGAGGGTGACGCGTCCGACAATGTTGATCTCAGTCATGGTGTCGGCTCCGTACTCATCCCTCTCTGCAGCGAAGCGGTTCTCTTTGGAGTCACCTGAGGACATGCACAGAGCCAGACAGACAGCCAATTACAGAGGAGGAGGGGAGCCGCCGGAGGCTCTCCATTAAGTTACTACACACACACACACACACACACACACACACACACACACACACACACACACACACACACACACACACACACACACACACACACACACACACACACACACACACACACACACACACACACACACACGCTGTTCCCACACTGTGCTATCGTGCACGTCTACACACAAACAGGGCCACATGTGTTTGTACTTAACAGTACCTACAGTGTGTATGTGTGCGCCGCCCCACACACACACACACACACACACACACACACACACACACACACACAGTCATGACCTGGATTTAATAATTTCCTGCAGAATGGAATAAAGGGACTGCTCAAAAACAAACACTTTAGAAGAAAAAAAAAGCGCACACCTTCAGTCCGATAGGACTTCCTGGCTTAATAGTCAACCACCAAAGGAGGTTCACTGTGTGGAACATGGCAGATTGAGCTGTATATTCTGTCAAGCTCAGCAACTTATTCCTCATATAAAACTATGAGATACACATAGATAAGTTAGGTACTGCAGATATTGTAGTTATACTTGGCCATATGCATTTCTACATGTCTATCTTTTGCATACAAAAGATCTGCTTTGAACTCTGCTTTTTCACATTAAAGTGCCCCTCCATTCAGAAATCAGTTTCTAGTTCCTACAGTGTGATAAATGCTGTCTGTGCAGAGTTTGACACTAGAAGGATGTTTTCACATTCATCTGTTGAAAGTGGAAAGTTTCTCTGTGCTCATTGAAAATCTGATTTTAAGGGGCGGGGCCTACCAGCAATACTTGTGACATTGTATCCAGCAGGAAAAATTCAACAACATTTGCATATTCAGAGATTCTGGAAGATTTAATGATGTAGAATGAGTAGATGATGCTATAAAGATTTTAATGTGGAAAATGTTTTTTTTTTTGCAGAAAATCATCAGACACACATTACTGGTCGTCTATTTGTAAATAAGTCTTTATACAGATCTGAAGAAGATCTTTAACTATTAACTACCTGGCACCCGCGACAGCTGCTGACACAGGTCCACCCCAAGCGCTGCAGCCCGCTGGAGGAGGTAGCCCCAGGAATGCATCTGCACCTCGTACCCCACCAGGATGTCTGGGTCAAACCTGACAGAACACAGGGGGTTGGTAAGGTCAGCATTTGAGAACTGTAGTATGGTGGTCTTGGTCTTCTTTTTCAAATGTAAGAAGGAAGTAAATTTAACTTGTAATTTTGCTCCATCACCAGCTTTACATATTTACTGATAGCAACGCCACTCCATTACTGTTCATTCAAAGGGAGCAGTATATTAAGGAGCTGTGCTTACAACTGCTTAGTCACACATACACACCTCCTCATGATGGTGATCAACTCCTGAAACAGCACTTTCTCATCAGTGGCGTAGGTCACCTGCAGCCCAGAGACGCCCGACCTGACCAGCAGGGGCGCTGTTCCTCTGTGACCTCCTGAGGGCATTTCAATAGATTCATTAGCCCCACTGCATGTAGACGCTGATCATGTGACTAGGTGCAATCCACAAAAACAATGCTGCCTACTTTGCTGAATAATGTTACATAATAATAAACTATTTAAGGAACAAATATCCTCATTTTCAGCAGGGCAATAATGAAATGAGTTTTAACCTCGGTCACAACTTTGATGGTCTTTGTCCACTACAATGGCACCCGTCAGCTGGGTGCTGTCTTCATCTGGCAGGGGACCATCAGAACTGAGGCAGTAGAATAAGGCACATATGGGGTCAAATTCGGGGTCAGGTTCGAGGTCACGTCGGGTTCTTGCATGGAGCTCCATGCCCATCAGTGTTAGGTGCTGGACCTGAGAAGGGAAGACAAATCAGGATGAATTCAATTCAATTCAATTCAATTCAATTTTATTTGTATAGCGCCAATTCATAACAGAAGTTATCTCAGGACACTTTTCAAATAGAGCAGGTCTAGACCGAACTCTTTAAAACATTATTTACAGAGATGCAACAGTACCACCATGAGCAAGCACTAGGCGACAAGGGCAAGGAAAAACTGCCTGTTAAAAGGCAGAAACCTAGGACAGATCCTTTGGCTCTAGGTGTGTGGTCGTCCGTCTCGACCAGTTGGGGTGAGAGAGAGAGAGAGAGAGAGAGAGAGAGAGAGAGAGAGAGAGAGAGAGAGAGAGAGAGAGAGAGAGAGAGAGAGACAGACATACAGACAGACAGGTGCACAGCAACAGCAGTATTGGCAATGGCAATCTAGCAGGACAATCAGTCTGAAGACATATTTTTTAGACTTGGATTTCGTGGTGATGGTGTCTGTTAACTAAGAAACAACACAAGGCAGAAAACTCATCTTCAGCAGCACATCAGGGTGCTCTGTACCTATTCAATTATATTCCTTCATCTCTTCACTCAAACTACATCTAAATAACCATTATATTTCCCCCCACTATGCCCAGAATCGTTTTCTTATCTGATCACTTTTTAGTTGCCATATAATTGCCATGGCCTTGAATATTTCACCCCTTGCTTAATGACTGCTTATTATTTTAGTGATTGAAGCTTTTTTACTGACACATTCACTCCAAGTCTGTCTGGATAAAAGCATCCATTAAATGCCAGGAATATTAAATAAATCCTAATAGACTGCATGGGCTCCAAGGAGAATGGCATTCAGTGGTAAAACTCAGCATGAGTTTGCATTCCAGCAGATACTCAAGTGGCTGAGCCCGCCACCTCTGAAACCCTGAAACCATGTGTGCCCCTGCTGGTTGAGGATCGAACACTGCCAAACTTCCTCTCCAGTGTTTTCCAATATTCTCTGTCTTCTTCTCAGCTTTCTACTACTACAAAAATATTTAAATAAATAAAAACAGGTGCAGCTGAGTGCAACTATTGTCTGGTGATTGTGCTATCTCCAACCCTGTGTCTATACACAGCCAAAGCCCATTTATAAGCAATTTTGTGGACGTGTAAATTTTGCCACGAAGGTGTCAAGAGGGTGCAAAATGCATCAATAAAGTATAAAAGACATGTAAGAGTAAAAGACATTGGATTTCAAAATATTTACTAAAAAGAAAAGTTTTGGCAAAAAATTATGCCGCAAGCTGTAACACAGCCAAAATGATCACCAAATAAAAAAAAAAAAGTTGAGAAAAATGTACAAAAATTCCTGATGAAATGCCAGGAAGGCATTATGGTTAAATGTTTTTCAAGCCAAGGACCCCATAGCTGATAGAGACAGAGCAGGTACTGCCTACATTGTATAACATTGTGTTGCATCATACTGGGCCTACAATAACATTTACAATATATTTTCAGATTTTCAGTATTTTCAGATTCATATTTAAATTTTCGAAAAAATAAAAACACAGTTACAAAATTATCAAACGATATTATGGTATCGGTTGGTGCCGCCAGCAGTAACTCTAAGGACCCCCTGTTGAACTCCAAACCTAAATATTGGACTAATATAACCTTTTCTTCTTTCCTAAAAGCGCAAAAACAGATTCAGTGTGAATGAAGGCTGGGGTCTTAAGAGCTACTGCTCACCTCATGCAGAGCTTTGGCATCCTGCAGGTTTTGCATGCTGATTTTGAAGCCGTACGAGTTGGCTATGCTGGGCCCTTCAATCTGAGAATTATCTTTCTTTGGCACGTTCAAAGCAGCAAACTGGTTCTGTGGAAAAGACAAATGAACAAGACAACACAGGCAAAAATCATTAAAGCTCAATTCAAACACTGACTTCATTCAAAGCAACAAGCTGGAGGCATAATATCAGGTACATTGATTTGCCTACCAGGGTAGACTGGGGTCTTTGATGTGGTGAGAGGTCAGAGAAAAAAAAAAGATCAACAATTGCAGTCTAACCTTCATCTGTGTTGTCAGTAACACTCGTCTCAGTGGGTCTGCTTGGCTTCTCCTCCTCTGCTGGAGCCTCTGAGAAGTGGGATCCTCTGCAGCAGGAATAAGAACATGGGTTAGGTAACAATATCACTAGCAGGAGTGCATGCAGAACATTTACACAAGTTAGAAATAAGTCAAAGTATTGGTCAGCTATGATATATTCCAATTCCAGGCATACTTGCCAATTTCTATTACAGATAACATAGATGAAACTGCTGTTTTCTTACCCTGAGATATGGGCGTGCTGCACACTGGATCCAGATCTTCATTGCTTCTTCGCCGCCTCCTTAAAAAGGGGGTGCTGTGAAGGAGGAGGGGACTAGTCCTCTCCTCTTCCGTGTTACTGGCATGGAGGAGTGAGGGGCTAAGATTCTCCCCTAGCTTCTCCAGGGAGTTGGACAGCCTAGGTGACAGAGGTTCTGGAGAGTTTTTGCTGAGCTGGTCTGGTGCTGAGGGGCTAGGCTGACAGGACTGCTGCCAGGGAGGCAACTCTGGGAACTCTGGAGAGGTCGCTTTATCATCATCATCATCATCATCATCTTTTTCTCCACTCTCCTGCTCAATAACCACACCGCCTTCATCTGAAACTGGACTCCCCTCTGTAGATCTACATTGAAAGCCTATATTCTTCATGGGAGATATGATTAAGGACAGGTTGCGTTTCTTTCTCCTTTGGTTTCTGATACTGGAGCACAGCTCAACATTTACTGCTGGACAACTTGAAGCAGATGGCTGCTCAGTTCTCTCTGGGTTCCCCTCCACATCCAGCCCAGCCCCTTTCTTCAGCCCCCCTGTGTCTCTTCTCCCCTTTTGTAAACTCTCGTACTGTTTCCTGGCTTCCAGCCACAGGTGCACGCGCTCTTGGCTTGGTGGGTTTTTGCAGGGCAGAAGGATGATCTTCTTGTCACTGGCTGCAGATGGGTCAAGCTGGACCTGCTCTTTACTTCTGTCTTGAGAAGATGAGGTAATAGTGATGGCAGGATGTGTCATGGCTGAGAAGGCCGTCTTCCAGAAACGGAGGCCCTCTAAACAGAGTTCCCCACTAAACTCTGCTAGCTCCTTAGCCAGTCTGGTACCCACCATTAACTTACGGCCACCAACCTCCCTGGAGAAAAGACAAGAGGAATGTCATTATTTGACTTATTAACATTTTATCCATTACTGAAATTTATCGCAGCTTCTGAAGTGGAAAATCACAATGTATATATTATCATCATCATTATTATTATTATTATTATTATTATTATTATTATTATTATTATTATTAGTACTGCAACGTCTACAAAAGTTCTGTTCACAATCAGTGTGCACGATATAATCAATATAACCTTTTTCACAGCAGCTATCTTGACATGAAATAGTAGGGTAAACACTACTAGTGGACAAAACTCGACAGAGTAACTTTAAGTAGTCTTGCGATACCAGACAATCGGCGATCTCAGTGCCAATTGTCTGGGGATTTCTAAATGCAAAGTGGTTGCTAGAATGGCAGCGACAATGGGTTTTTTAAACTCTTGAATTGATTCCGCCCAGTTTACCAATGACAGCTGGGAGAAAGTCCTCAGCTTCTAGTGAGTGAAGTTTTTAGACACTGGCCTGTAGACTAACCTAATGTAGAAGGCTTTTCAGATAAATTTGTATCTATGCACTGTCCACACATAAAAGTAATCATTACTTCTGCTTGTGCCGCTGGTGCATGTAGTCTTACATTGGTTTCCCTGGCGCATCAGAGGGATCGCTGCAGAACGGCTCCTGGAAGGTGGCCTCTGACATCTCCAAGTCCAGTAGAGTGCTAAGGATCTCCTCCCGGCTTGGAGGGGACATGAGGGGCTTGAGAATGTGGGCTCCACCTCCTCCCCCCCGCAGCAACTGGCTTGCCCTCACTTGGGACAGTGAGCTGATGGAGCGTGGAGAGCTACTGGGTGTGGTGGATGTTAGTCCATCAATGCCCTCCAGAAGCTCACCTGTTGGGGAGCCCTCATGGTCGACGAATGACGCAGAACTTAAAGGCAAAGGTAGGACAGGGTCGAAGACGGAAAAGAGCAGCTCTTTATTCTCACAGTGAAAGTCTTGAAAGGGACTGAGTGTATGGGCTTTACCTAAGGAGAAGTCCCACTCTTTGCTCTTGATTTTCTCAGAGTCAAGGAATGTGAGGTGATTTGACTCCCCATTCTCAGGTCTATCAAAGAGGTCTGGGCTGGCTGGCCTTGGTTTGTGCCAGTCAGAACCTCTTTGTAGCTCCTCCACAGAACCAAATAGCTTATCGAGCTTCTTCTCAAAGCCCAGTACCTGAGCAGATACAGCTTCCTGGCTTACATCACTCAGGAACTTGACTGGTAAATTCTTATCAGTCAGGACAAACTGACTGCCACTGTATGGGCTGGAGAACTCTGTCTGGTCAATAGCATTTATATCAAAGGTATAGTTGTGTGGGAGCTCTGGTGATAAGCTGTCCTCTATGAAGTTGCAACTGTCCAGGCCTGGGTCTGACAGGAAGATGGGGCTGTCATCTGACACGTTGCCCTCCTGCTTCACTGACAGATTTGGCTGAGTGTTGCTTGCTTTGCCTTTCCTGATTCTGGGCTTTTTATCCTTGGGATTGGTAGATTTTGGCGCCCTGGGTTTCCGAGGAGTGGTGGGGGGAGCTCTTCTGGATTTGACTGGTTTAGTTGTGGGATCTAGTAGTGCTGCAGCCTGAGCTATGGCAGTGGAGTGGCGGTCTGCACCAACCACTTGTAAAGGAAGGGCCTGTCCCTGCTGCCTCTTTTGGAGAAGCTGCTTTAGGACAGCCAAGCCAGAGGGGGTCTCAGAGAGAGTGGGGATTTCCCCGTTCTTAGGGCCAGAGTAAGGGGAGGCTGTTGCTAGCTGTGCTTCTTTACTGTCTTCCAATACAGATCTACCAGCCAGAGGAGGTGGAGGGGCCATGCACTCCTGAGAATCCTCTGCCTTTACCACAGTGGTCTGGCAACCTTGCTGCTTCAGTTGAGCTGGTGCTGAAAGGCTTTGGTTGACCTCCATGATAGAAGCCTCACAGTCCTCAACTTTTGGTTCTATAGTCTGAGCTACTGATATAGATGCCATTTGGGAATTACCCTGGCTGTTGTGATCTGTGCTCACTGGCTGTTGAAATGGAGGGACACCTTGAGAGGAGCTCTCAGAAGAAGGTAACTCATCCTCTGGGAAAAGGAGCTGGGAGTGGTCTTTGCTTGAGTCCTGGCTTTTGGGTTCTTCAGTCTTCTTTTTGCGAGACTTTCTAGGTCTTGTAGTGATTGTAGAACTGTTGACAGTAGCTTCAGCTGTATCTTTAGCTTTCTTTCTCTGCCTTTGAGCAGCACCACCACTTTTTTTCAGTTTCTCTTTTTTGGGTTCCTCTTCCTCTTGAGGCTTAATAGCAGACTTTCTTACTCTCCTTTTAGTGTCTGTGAATTTCTTAGGTTTTTTATTTTGTGCTCTTTTGGTTGAAGACACTGTGCGTGGCTTGTGAAAAGCAGAACTAAGACATGGGTCACTAAGTGGATTTATTAGCTGTTCTGAACTATTTGTGTCCATAAGAGGGTCACTTGGGGACCAACAACGTGGGGGTGTTGAGTCTGTAGGGCTTGGGGATCTGTCAGAGAGGTAGCCCAACTCTACCATGACATCAGAATACTCAATGCCATGGTCATCTGCTAGCTCACAGTAACATGGTCGAGGAGGCGGTAGAGAGGGTAGAATTGGGCCTCTCTGACAGCCTTTAATCTTTTTGACCCTCTCTCCCTGTCTGACCCGGGACTTAGAGGAGTTGCAGACTGTTTTCTTACTAGTGGAGTTGACCTTTGCCTTTCTTTTGGGTTGTTTTTTGGGCTTTGGCTCAGTGATGGGAAACTTGACAGCAGTGGATTCTGGCACCTTGGGCCAGAATTCCTTGAGAGGTGCAAGTTTATTGTATTGCTCTAGCTTTTTAGGCGTCAGCAATACCAACTGCTCCTCTGCATTCACTTTTGACATCTTCACCAGCATGTTTTTCTGTCCTTTGAATCTGTTGATAATAATATACTTGATGATGATAGGGGGTTCCTTCTTGCGCCGTTTCTGGTATTTTACTTCCTGCCCACTGGTGACATTCACATCCTTGACTCGTTCTTTGATGGAGTCTGGGTTTTTAGAACGAGTGGCACCTGAGTGTTCACCATCCTCGCCATCATAGATCATCTTCCGTTTGGTCCTCAGGGTGTATTTACTACCAGGCAGTGCTGAAGGTTTAGTACAGGTGACTTTAGCTGATAAATCTTGCAGTGGGCTTAACCTATCCTCTGCTGACTCTTTCACTTCTTTAGTAAAACTGGAAACAGGGGTAGCAAGGGGTTCTGAAATTGGTTTTGTCTGTTCATTTACAGACTTGTCCTCACTTTCTGGCTCCTCCTTTGTGACTGGCCCATCTTTAATTGGCTCAGCCTCTTTAATTGGCTCATCCTTCAAAATTGGCATCTCTGGTTCTGCAGTCACCGGACAAGCAGGTGTGACTGAGGTGAGGCCAGTACTAACTTGGCTGTCAGAGGTAGAGCTTTCAACTATGTTTAATCTGTTCCTCTGTCCTACCATTCCCAACCTTTTTCTATTCACTTTTAGTCTAGATCTGCGAGGCTCGGCCTGTTCTAGCTCACTGCAAGAATCAGTTAGCTTTTTGCTCCCAGCTTTCTTCCTACTGAGGCAGTTGGAGAGGATGACGCTTGGGAAGAACTTGTAGTGTGCTTCCTGCTGGGCCACTATAGTCCTCTCGGTCTTATTTTCCTGATAGTCCTCGTACCTGATTTTGAGTTCACCAACATCCCCCTCCTCACTATCCTGGCCTATTTCTTCCACCTGAGGATCAAGAAACTCATCCTCCTCCATGGGTGATGGAGATGAGGAGATGTTCCTCAGGATGGGGCTTTTACTGTCCTTCTGGCTCAGTTCCAGCTCTGTCTTAGCTGAGCAGTTTCTCAGCTCAGAGTAACAAAGCGAGAAGGTCCTGTGGTTCTGAAGAATGGACAGACAGTTAGTTTCTACATTCTTTATGCTGCCGTACTTCTTCCTGTTTTTGGTGACCTTTCCATTACCAAATGGGAAACTTTCTAAATCTGTCTTATCCAAAGGTATGGAGGTTTTCTTTTCATAGGTGTATAGGGGTCGTATGTCCTCTTTGTCTACGCAGAGGGGAGATACCTCAGGGTGACTGGCCATCTTGCAGGGAATGGGGTGTTTGACTGGTGGGATGTAGGGGATTTCTTTATTGACCTTGAACCCTGTTGAACATTCACTACTGCTGTCCTGGCTGCTTTTCGATTGAAAGTGCTTGTCAAGTGGTTGCTCAGTGTCCAGCACATGAACTTGTCTGTGCTCGGAGTGCTTGCACTCCAGGTGAACAGGCTCCCCAGAAAAGGGAGTCCTTTTCCCGAGCATCTTTTCTGTGACTATTAGAGAAGACTGGGTCCTGGAGCCACTGTCTGTTAAGGACGAATCTATGGATACAACAGAAGAGAAGAAGAGACGTGTTGTTATTATTATTATAATAATAAGAGTTACCAGCAACAAGATATGGATTAAAATCTCTAATTTTCATATATAATTGTTTCTCTTCAAATCAAAATTAAAATATGTTCTTTAAAGAATGATGATTTATTAATAATTAAAGTAAATAACCGGGAGCCATATTCACAAAACATCCTAAGGTAGCTCCTAACTCGCTAAGTTAGGAGAAAATCCTAAAAATATTGGGTCTGTCACTCCTAAGGTTGCTTAGCTATTGGTATGAACGATCACAAACCATTTTAGCGCTAAAAGTAGCTCCAAAGTCTGAGAGAAGTTAGAGGTAATCCAGAGGACTCTTAAGTCACTAAGATCCATTCACTGTCTAAAATGTGCTATAGATAATGAATCTCATCACATTTGTATTGTGTAGCAATAGAATGATAATGAACTTTTAAAACCGTTTAATAATGATTCAGTTGGCTCAGCAACAAATCGAACCTATCCCGTAAGTCTTGAATTGTCAATCAAAGTATTATTTGTTTTGCCAACTGGAAAGAATGTTGCATGCTGATACACTGGTATTTGATGCCAGATAAACTGACTTAACAAGTCAATATTTTACTTTGTTTCATGTATAAAGTCTATGGTGTAGTTTCTAAAATATCTCAAATGTATTTTATGATCCATCCATCCATCCATCCACTAGTCACCTGTCAAACACCAATTAGTGTAGACATAAAATAGCAGCTTTGTGTATGGCACTTCTCTCTTGCCTAGGTACATTTAATGGCATTCAGGACTCTACTGGCAAGATACAATACAGCCCCTGAAGATCAGGTCTTACTAGAAACTGGCTCCAGTGGTAATATATCTATTTAGACTGCAAATGTTTGATGTAACAATTGCCAGTGCCTATTCCCAGGTCTGACATTGAAAATAGACCATGTTACATATGTCCTCATTGACTGCTGTTCAAAGACAGCTCTGTTCATGATGATCTGTTTGTAATGCCAGTCTGTCTGACATGAACATGTTCATGAGTTGAATGATGAATTAAAACTTGGCTACAGAAGAGATAGGAAATACAAATACTGTACAAATGGTCAACTTTTATGCTTGTGTATGTACAGTGATGAATACTAATGTGTGTGTATGCACAGCAGCTTTGTGTCTTCCATATATGTCTATAATATGGCAGTTGAGGTGCATAATTTTAACCAAGGCAGTATTTAAATGGTCTTTTTTGCTCAGGAATGTTTCTAACTGAGTGAAATGACCCAGAAGTATTTCAGTGGCAGCCATGAGAAGAGCTGCTCAATATTCTATATGTTGAGGAAAGGTGCTTCACAGCTTCCTTTCTTAACTCCTTCAGTATAGGATACACTGGACCATCCTTTACCAATGCAAAGGAGATAATGCTGTCCCACAATTCCTTGCATCAGTAACATTTAAAGCAAACATGTGAAGGCAAATATTTTGTGTTTCTGACACCAGCCAAAACTTGAGGAAATACAAATGTATTCTTTCAAATCTTGAACAAGAATATTGAATTGGTAGTTAGCTATCATCATAAGAATTTGTTTTGTTTAAACCAAGGTCAAGTAAAAGTGTTAAGGAAAGGACATAGGACAAGATTTTTTGGACTATTCGACCACAACCCATATTCCAGCAAAGCTACAAAGACGGCTGACCCAGGAACCATTTGGTTCTAAAAAAAAATATGGAAAATATGAATGTGTCTCTGTGTATGTACAGTGATGAATACTAATGTTATTTAACCACATCTCTTCTTATATTATCATATGGCCCACCACTAGTATGTACAAGGTTGGAAAGTAACACCTGATATTTTCACCTGAGAAAGATCCAACCAGAATCAAAATACTCTATCAAGATATATATTAATATATAACACACACACACACACACACACACACACACACCACATGAATTTAATTAGGTCTATAAAAAAGTTATAGACAATGTTTGGTGGATTGGTGTTGGCCTCGACCATGGTTGGATGGTGTAGTTAGAATGAACTGCTACACTTGTCTGTATATGACTGCTTTCATGGCGATTGTAAAATGTATTAAGAGTTAATTGACAGTAACTTGAACTCCAGGGAATCAATTACAATCCCAGAGGTCTTGCACTATATTAAATCACAGCTCCCTCAAATTAAATTAGATCATACAGCCAAAACCTAGCATCAACCCAAATTGTTATTGTGCCTGATCTATGTTCTGATATCCTTGTTGGAACATGAATCAGCAGGGGATATAAGATAAGCGTCAAAGCAAACTGACATTTAAGTGATGTCTCAGTATGTCTCAGCATGAGATGACTCACCACTGCTCTCGTCTGCAGCCCCATCGACCTGGGGGATGGACAGGTTGGCGAACAGAGAGTTATTCCCACTCCACTCCATGTCTTCGTCAGAGGACTCCTGCTGCTCGTCACTGAAGCCGTCCTCTGGCTCCTTCACACCGGGCCTGTACACACGGGGATGACAAGAACACTGATTAAACATGCACAGGCATGGCTCACTGTGGCCGACTTTCACCTGACTGATAAGTGTCTGCTGGCTTGTGTTCGTACACAGAGGAGGAGCACGCAGACAGCATGGATAATGAATATTTCACTTACTTCTGATTTATCTTGATGTTTGTATTGCTTGTAACTTACATTACTTTCTTAAGCTGGGCAGAGATTGTACAGACTCAAATTGATCGCCCCAGACTATTTACTATTTACTATTACAATCTTGCTGAATTTCTGCCAGATTAGCTGTGTAACATTCAGGTTTAAAGGGATTGTGAGGTGTAATTACTTGCCCGTACAATCAACAAGCTGGCAGTTGGACAATTGCATGGATTTCTGGCATCATGAACTAATTAAAGGTTCCCTGTTTATGATCGATCTGTTTAGTGTAAGAATAGTTGTGAGTTTTAGCAATGCAGAAATGATAACTAAAACATGTAGTATGATTGAAGCAAGGGTAGTTGGAGAAAACAGCAAGAGCTCACTAGATTTTGAAAGTATCCAACTGCAGAAATCCCATCCCCTCCTTTCAGGTCTCCCTCCAAAGCCCCTCACCAAACGAACACAAACACAGTGCCTGAGAGGAGCACAGCGCATCTTACACGCATTTTATTCGTAGCCTTTTCTACTACTTTTTTTTTTGCTTTGTTTAGCAGTGCGAACTGTTGTAGGTACAGGTGGAACTATACATTTTCGTGCGACTAGCTCTGTAGCTTTAGCAATATCTGCCTCGCCGGCTTGTGGAACAGGGGCAGGGTGCACAGAGATAGGCAGGTAGGTAGGCAGACAGGCTTATTACATATTAGCTACACAAATAACAAAAACATATTTTTTCAATGTATTTTTGGGGCTTTTATTGCCTTTTTTAAATCGATAGTGACAGCTGAAGATAGACAGGAAAGGGGGGCAGAGAGGGGTTGACACGCAGCAAAGCCTGGGCCGCTGCAGCAAGGATTCAGCCTTGGTACATGATGACATATGTATGTATGTATGTAAGCACCGATGCAGGTGAAAGTACACAAAACAAAAGGTTTTTCCACTCTGACAGAGACGAACATGCCTTGCTAAGGATGAGCTCTGAGGAGCCTCGCTGTCCCACCGCTGTGACATTATCACGCTGAGCTCAGCCTCTTCCTTGTCCAGCTCGGGCCCTGCCTCCTCCTCGTCGCTGTTGCAGTGGTAGCTCCTGGCACCAGGAAGTGACTGGGACTGGGAATTCTGCCTAACGGGGGTCCTGCAGAAACCATCGTCCTCCAGGCCTGCCAGCAAATCAATGATGACACGGTCTTGGCTGCTGTCTGCATACACAACAAAAACAAAGCATTTAAAAAGACATTACATCAATTAGCTGCAAGCAACAACTTCAAGAGTGGTCCCAAATTAATCAGTTAAGTCAAAGCTATGAATTGGCAAACCTTTGGCTTTATTTTTGCAGGATTACAGGATTTGGCACAGTTATCACCTCTTAGCCACGCATTTATTTCAAATAAATGAAAGTTTTTAATTTTTAAACACAAAGAAGGACAAGAAAGTGAGCAGAGTGTGTTCGGGTCAAAGTGGCTACCGTACCTAATAGGGGCGAATGGTTGGATGTCTGGGAGAGCGGGAGAAAGGTCTGACTGTTCTCCAGGAGGCTCAAGATGGCCTCCTCATCAACAACAGCCTCCTCTGGGATTTTATCACTGCTCCTCACAGAGTCTGAGATGGGGTTGGCATGGAGAGAAGACAAGTGTTAGCATCACTGAGACAACCCACTTTAAACGTCAGGCAGACTTGACATAATCTAAAAAGAGAGGACAGGCGCACACACACACACACACACACACACACACACACACACACACACACACACACACACACACACACACACACACACACACACACACACACACACACACACACACACACACACACACACACACACACACACACACACACACACACACACACACACACACACACACACACACACACACACACACCAACTGGTTCAGCATGAGGTCAATGTGTGTGTGCCACTGCTGTTTCTGCCAGCTTCTACACTCCTGCGGGAGCCTTGGCAGAGGGGGTGCCTGCAGATTAGGCACACTTTGAACCACTGACACAGTTGGAGTGATAGGGAGAATATACACAAATGTCACCGGCTACCTCTCCTATCAACCACACAGTCAGAAGACCAGGGCAACATATAGAGGTACCAAACATCATATAAAAGTTCAGCTAGCATTGATAATTATTCTATCGTGTTGCTGTCTGATTTGTAAAATAAAAACAGAAAGAAATGGGAAATGTGGACAGTAAAGGTGAGGATATTCAAGCAGGATTCATACTAAATATGATACATAACGTTAGTACAATCCAATAGCTTTAACAGTGAAACCTAAAGTTTGATTCATAGTGTTGTTACATAGGGACCATGAACCGTAGACCATTAATTCTCAGAGAGTGGGTATTTGGGTCCCAAATACATTTGCAGTATACATTTCCTCTTGCTAAATGCACTTATTTTTCTTCATTTATAAAGTATTTAAAATGCGTACGATGTTGATGATGAAGTTGTGATTTATCAAACATATAACTCGTCAAAATGGCTGGCTTACCTGTTCATGAAAACATGACATGATGCAGAGATAGCAGGAAAAATCAGGAAAATTCATTTATGCACAAATTTGCTCCTCTCACTGTATATTGGGTCGCCATGGTTTGTCATTTTTTAAAAAGTGGGTCCCCAGAAAATGAAACTACAACAGAACTTACATGTACTCCACAAAAGTGAACTACATTTATGAGCGATGGCAACTACACTGAATTTAATAAAAAGGTATTGAGTATATTTATTGCCAAAATGGTAGTTATTACTATAGTGACATGATCCAGTTAACGATTTCCAGTAAGAAACACACCGTCTTCAGTTAGAGACCATTTTACAGAGCAGCCCAGAGAACAGAGAGCTCAATCATGTTGTCCAAAGACAGTCACCTGAAGCTCAATGTCAGAAAAAACAATGAGCTTGTGGTCGACTATCAGCAGCAGAATTACTTTTATTGCCAAGTAGGTTTTTACATACAAGAAATTTGCCTTGGTATACTGGTGCACAACAATTAAACATAGAATGATCAATGATCAATATAAATAAAGAAGACCTCCCTGCCCTTGTTGTCATCCAGGGAGAGGAAGTGAAGAGAGTGGACTCATACGAGTACCTTGGGGTCCAAATCAATAAAAAACTGGACTGGACTCACAACACTGAAGCGCTCTTCAGGAAAGGACACAGCAGACTGCTCTTCCGGAGGAAACTCAGGTTACCAAATATATTTGACTTTGACTTTTTCCAGCTTTGCTGCTCTTGTTCTGCTGTGTGTCTTTTAGTTTGTAGGTTCATTGTTAGAAACAGAATCAGAGTCAAATTCCTTGTATGTGTGTAAAGCTGATACGGATCACATTTACATAGAAGATACAAATTCTAGTGTCACCAATTCAGTGTCCAGCCAACTGTGAAATATGGTCACAATCTCCCCCTTCTGTTGCTGAGTTATGCCGTTGAATAATGGACAGAAGTAGTAGAAGTAGAAGAAGTGCTTTTGCAGAACATTGTGAGAAGTTGATCTTTGACCTTTTGGATATAAAATGTCCTCACTTCATCATTTTATCCTAATAAACAATTGTGTGAAAATTTGATATGGCCAAAAACCTTTGACCACCACAATTTAATCTGTTAATTCAACCAGCGTGAAGGCATAGAAATCCACCTTTAGTTTCTGACAAAACAATCTCGCCTCAAGGTCCATATAGTACTGATTGATACAGTCAAAAGCTGCAGCTTAATGGATCCCGAGGTGAGAGGGTTTTCAAGGTCTATGACTTCTCACTATGGATGATGGAAAGTTTGAACATCCACTGCTCCATGGCAACTGAGTATATTTAATATGTTGGTGATGATCTGCTCTTCCAGAGGTTTAAATTATTATTTATGAAGCCCATTTTGGGGCTTGAGGACTATGTGATATGCACATACTCTATTTAAGCATTTTACACAGTTGTAGGGTTTCCTCACCGGGCTGCAAGTCCCTGTGCACCTCCACAGCATTAGCTGGGGTACACAGCAGTTCCTCGGGGGTCAGAGGGTCAGAATGCAGAGTAAGACCACCAGGAAAATCCTCTTGGTCCTCCCCTTCACCTTGTGTCCTAAGAGGAGACAGACAGAAATGATGATGAATTACTGCTGTAATTACACATTTCAACTCTTTCTTTCTTGTTGATTCTAACAGTTTTGTTCTCTTGTACATAGTGTTTTTATTATTTCCCTACTCTTACTGTTTATTTATACTGTTTTTTCTCTATCCACTTTGCTGCTGTTACATTGGAATTTCCGCATTGTGGGACAAATAAAGGAATATCTAATCTAATCTTTCTAAGTTCTTAGAGGACCCTTGAAGGCTCAAGGGTCCTGAAAACAATTATTTATTGCAACACTGTGATTCACTGGTAAAAACAAGTCACGTCATTATATTAGCGCCCTGGCAGTAATTGCGCTAAGACAACCAGTTTACATACAAAAAACAAGCACACAGATCAAAAGATGCAACACTTTTACTCCCATTTAGAGATGGGCCATATATCGTTTGCGATAATATCGTCATTGTTGTTTTGACGATGTGCAAATTTCCATTATCGAGTATTTAAATGACTTCGCCAAAAATATTGAAACGCACGCGGAAACTCCTCCCATCCACTTAATACACGGTGCAGCAGCTCTCTACAGCATGGCAGGATTCAGTCACCACTAGTGGGCCTACGTGATCACATGACCTCTCGCTAGCATCCTCCTTGCAACAGTTGAGCAGCGCGTTGTGCTGGTAGAGAGAAAATGCAAACACCTCCAGTCCCTGAAGCTACCGGTACTTCAGATGATTTAGTGCCGAGACGTGGGTCTACCTCTCTGGCATGGAAATGGTTCAGTTTCGAAAAGACTTTTTTAGCGCAGCGCTCAGAGCACTTCAAGTTGAAAACGCGTTTGGTGGACACAAGCCCTAACTCAGACAATTCCAATCACATTTTAAAGGATATCAACTGATTATCGTTACCGCCAAAATCCCCAAAAATAACGAGATATTATTTTTTGCCCATATCGCCCACCCCTACTCCCATTACATCTGCAAAGGAATGATGGATTTTCGGGTTTTCCCATTTTAAATAAATAAAAGCAGTGCTGTCAGCTTGGCTGTTACCTGAATCACAAAGCAGAGGACCTTCTGGTATCTGCCCTCATGCAGTCATGTTCTATTAGCGTCTCTGTGTACACAGAGGTGTGCGATGGCTGTGTGTGTCTGTGGGTGGCTGAGTGTGTGGAGAGTGTCTCTTGTCTGGTGTGAGTGTGTGCAGCTGTGTGTGTGTGTGTGTGTGTGTGTTAAAGAGGGAATATGAATGGAAAACGGGCAGGCAGCCAGCTTGGGCTTTGTATCCCTCCAGATCGCTCTCAGCTACAAGCTGCCTATCACACTCCCTTACCCATGTTGCCCTACTGCATCGCCTAGCAACTCACCACTTAGTGACTCTGAAATATTGAAATGTAGACCAGGCGGGCGGCCGCCTCTTGCAAGCGGAACACATTTCTCAGGAATGGTCATAATAAAGAAAAATTGAGTTCCATTTTAGGTGCTACTCCTGAACTGGTCCAAACCCTGGAAGGAGATTTTCCAGATCTGATTAAAAAGCATAGGCTTGATTAGATGAATTAGATAGGATTAGAGCCTTTCACCCTAGAGGTTGCGGGTTTAAATCCCACAATGAGCGAGAGAAACTGAATATGAAATGCCCTCAAATGCCCTCAAGCTACTAATTCAACACCCTGTTGCTCCAGCGACTGTGGGCATGCACGGTCAACTTTCTCAGGATAAATTCAAGCAGAAACACATTTTGATGAAACACGCTGAAAGCACTGTGGGGGGGGGGTTGTGCGGACAGACAGATGAAGCTGCATAATACCAGGTCTGAGCCCAGCAGCAGCTCAGAGGAATAAAGTAAACACTCCTGTGGAGTCGGTCCAGAGAGACAGCACTGGCAGAGGATAAATGCCATACTGCATTTACTGAGAAGTCACAGCCACATGATCACCCTTTCATTTTAAATGATGAATGAGCTAAAGGCTTCTTCCTCTGAATGTTAACTCCAACCTGGTAGCAAGGCTGTTAACGTACGCTACTAGGTTGCTATCCCAGAGTGTGATGTTAGGATGACACCAAGAGAGATTCTACTGCAGTCTCATTGTCATTCAGAGACTTTGTTCTGCCGGGCCGTATGAGGGAAGACCTCCAGAGAGTCAGCGTGCATGTGCCACTGTCTGGATGTCTCTTAATTAGTCTGCTAGCTAACGACTTTAGGGGCGACGAGGGAAGGGAGCCTGGCAGGCGTCGGGAGATTACTGCAGCGATTAACACATTTCGCTACCAAGCCACGCCCCCTCCCCCCACTGCCTTTACTGGCTTGGTTGAGCTGTGAGAGTTTGAGTGATGCAACTGAAGAAGGAAGGGTGACACAGAGAATGGAAAGATAACCTCCTGCTGCACATCATTAGTAAGGTACACAAGTTTTACATGTTGTCATATCTAATGGAATGTTTCTGATGAATGAGACAACGAGCTATAGTGGGTATAATGTGCATTTTGGGTTGGAATCCTGATGACTTTTTTTTTTTTTTTTTAATTTACATAGCCTCATTGGCAAATAATGGTATGTTTTATGGTCGAAAGCATTCCCAACCTAAGGGGTCGCAAAATAAGTCTGATGGGGACACAAGATTATTATGACAAGAGAGGAACCAGAAAATTCTGTTTATGTTTTTTATGCTCTAACCTCGCAAGACAGCTGGACTCCAGAGATTCATCCCATGAGTATCTATCTTGCCAAGCTTCTATCTATGTGTTTGTGGCCCAGCTACAGTGGGTTCGAACAATCAGTGTCCTATGAGGAACAGCTGGCAACTACAGTATAAACTATAGGTGTGGTTTAACGATAAGTGTGTGTGTGAAAAGTGACTGTTCACTGGAAAACAACAATGGCAGCTGCTAAAGAGGTTAGCGTAGATGCCGATAGCATCAGTTCTATCAGAACTGGAGAGTATTTCTTTGTTAAAAGAAGAGCAAAGAACGGCACAGAAGGCTTTTCTCAATGGAAAAGATGTTTTCACTCTTCAGTCGACTGACTTCAGTAAGTTTGTCTATTAACTTATTATATGGTTCTTTGATCTGATTGGATGGTGCATCCAATCACCTGCCCAGTATTTTTCAGAAGTGCCTGCTCTTTTCCAACCACACCTTTTCAGATCTGTGTAACTAGCTGTCTGGAGCAGTCAGGTTCAGTTTCCTCTAAGGTTTCCATTTTCAATTGACCTCTCAGGCCTAAAAAAATAAAGACAAATGTGACTTTGTGGTTTAACTGGTGACCAGGACATTTACCATACCAATATATTTGCAATTAACTACTACCTGCCTATACATATATCGGCCTGCATGATTTATTGATCACGCTCTAGTCAAGACAATAAGGTAAGAAACCACTGGGCTAAAGCGCCAAAAGAAGCGGATTGATTGGTGCCGTTCTTTTCCTCTAAGACAGAGGATGGTGAGCTTGAGGACAGCACAGGGAGAGGGATGGATCCACCAACCTGGTTTGATAGGCGAATCTCCAGTTCTTTAGAACCAGCAGAAACCACACAGTCTTGGTCCTTATACGATTAGATATGTCTTTCAACCAAGAACGATCCACATTCACACAGCACTTTGTGATGTGTAGGGTTGAAGTAGGGAATAGGAAAGAATAACATCTAGTCAGCACGAGCAACCAGAAAATGAAGACTAAAAATACTGTTATTGTTAATTATTTAATGCATGTAATGAAACAAAGGACCATATATACAGTATGTTCAAATACAACTTTTATAAAGAACCTGTTGCTTTTTTTCACCTAATAGTAAGATTTTTTCTTTGCCCGGCAACAAAAATATCTAGGGTTGGGCTGTATGATCGGTAGATTATCAGTACACCCATATCTTAAACCAAAAAATTAGAAAAGAGAATAAAAGTGATTTAAAAAAGCAATAAAATGTAGGTTTGTTTACAAGACAAAAAGAAGTGAAAAAGGAAAGGATTAAAGTGAAAGGAAAGCCTGCAGTGAGTCCTTGAGAAAACGGCAACAACAGTAGCGGTGCATAACAGAGGAAGGGAAAGCCAAAAGAAAGGAAGTGACAGACTGTGTGTGAGTATTAACAGAGAGAGTGACTGAGACATCCAGGCAGTGGGAGAGTTGAGAGCCGCCAGCGAGGTGTGTGTGTTGTGTGTGTGTGTGTGTGTGTGTGTGTGTGTGTGTGTGTGTGTTCCATCAGTCAGGCACCGCACTGCTCCCACACCGCGCCCCCTCTCCCATGTTCCTGTCTGATATCGGAGGTTAGTGAATAGAAGCCATCTGGATCTGATGCGAAGGCACGCACGGCCGCCAAGCCAACTGTACTTTTATTTATAACAGGAAATACTTTCTGCCTGTACACCGTGGGAGTGGGAGGGAGGGGTGTGTAACCTCGCCGGCATCCTTTCACTCTCTCCTTCCCCCGTTTCTCCACGCTATGCCCGTTCTGTCTCCAACCCCACTCGCTACATCTGTTCTGACTTCACTTTCTCCATCCTTCCTTCCCATGTCTTCAACCCCTGCTTTCATTCCCTCCCTCTCGGCCCTGAGAGGAAAGAGGGGGCGGACAACGACACTGACATGGAGCTGAGAGGCAGAGGGAAACTGAGGACGTGCAACAGCTTCACTACAGTTCAACACAAAGAGCTAAAGATGAGAGAAACTTGCTCGAGCTCAATGTGGTCTGAGGCTGTAGGAAACTAATGTAAATGGCAGCATCTTGTGCTCCTTTTTCTTTTTTCAAACACGGTTTCTCTCTTCCAGAAGTCCAAGCTTCTTGCCAGCTTCTCTGGCTTTCCTCAGGGAAACAGCACAATTGTCCTACAATGGACTTTCAAATTTGTCCTGAAACATCTGGCGAGACCCACCAACGCTCACCAAGACAACAGATCAAAGGAGGAAACTTACACGTCAAACTCGTTCTCCTTCAGAATCTCCTTGAATCTCTTCATGAAGATTTTTTCGCTCTCTGTTGAAGTGACAACCCCACGATCTGAAAGACATCAGACAAACAATTTCATTAGTGCATTAATCCTTCCTGGAAAGTGTCTGTTCCAGACCTCAAATTCCTCGGATCGATTAAAACATTTTGGTCAGTAATTGCTGTCAAGTACACTAGTATAGGCTGTGTAATTGAGCTGTTAGTGGCGTTATATTGCTTAATCACACCAATAAGAATGGGACTGGGTGTGATTCTACATACCAGGAAAGAAGAAAGGTATCTTTCCAAACTTGTCATACTCTCTGTACAAACTAATCCTTGTGACACTTGGACATTTTCATTTCCTCTCTCAACACTTTTCCGACCTGGGAACCCTGTGTACTGTGAAAATGCAAAAGCAAACACATTTCATCACAACACAGCGCATTAGCCTGTGATTATTTATCACCCCGTTTCCATGACAGCTCCCTGTGTGTGGGGACGACTCAGAGTTTGGCAAGATTAAAGTTCTTGTTTGTGGTTAGAAGACAAAGTTGTGTCACCGATCACACAGACATCTATAAGAATGATGATAGTCTTACTTGTGGAGGTAATGGAAAATGCTGTCTTCTACTGGAATGGGGCTCAGCAACAAAACTAAGACAGATGTCACAACAAGCTAACAAGGAGCTAAACATGATGAAACAATACAGTTAGCCACAAAAGAATTTTTATTGCCTCAAAACACGGTCATAACTCTATCATAGAGAGCAGAAAGGCTGGCGCCAGTGAAATGAAACAAGCTCAGCCTCACTCTAGCTTTGAAGATTTTGAATTTGAAGTTTCTTTCAATTGTATGCCTACATTAAACAGGTTTGCAAACAGACACTCTTTTTAGTTTTCAACTAAAATAAGATATTTACAGTTTCTTACAACTTAGGTCTTTTTTCATAGTTTTGGCCATGTTCTCTCCAAAGTAATTGCTGAGAACACTAAAGACATCGCAACAAAGTCCAATGGGGAAAGAGAAAGAAGTGATCAGAGGATCCGACAGTTTGGCCGGATTACCTAAACCACTTTATTTGGAGGTAAAGCCAGAAGTAAGCTCAACTGAAATGTCTTATTTAGTGCTATTTGTATCATTAATCTGTCAATCATTTTGTGGAATTTATCAATTAGTTGTTTGGTTCAGAAAATGGTGAAATCACTGTTTCCCAGAACCCAATTAGGGAGACATCCTCAAATGTCTTGTTTAGTCCACAACCCAGAGATATTCAATTTACTGTCAGAGCACTAAAGAAACCAAGATTTTTTTTAAAGAAAATATTCACATTTGAGAGGCTAAAATCTGAAAATGTTATTTAAAAAAATGTTGATGATGGTTTAAAATGATTGATCAATTGTCAAAATCTACTGTATGTTAGGGATGGGACGAAAACACACATTTATTGTAGTGAATTTCCATTATCGTGATAATCGTGAATCATGATCATTGTCAATATCCTCACATGGCTGGACTTGAAAACGCTATCTACAGTCCTATTTTGATTTCCTGATTTATTTTGAACAAGGGGACAAGAGGGAGCTCACATCTTTCCAGTCATTCCAAAATCCTAACCCTGTCACCATGGTATAAAGTATGTTTTCATGATTATTGTGATAATATTGTGTATCGCAATTATTATTATTTAATCGTGACATAAAATTTTAATGTGGTCCCACGCCTACTGTATATAAACAGTAGTAAGCTTAACAGGTTAAGGGGGGTGGTTGGTGGCGACCTTGACTTGCTTTAGTTATGGTGAGGCCTGGATATAACCTTTACATTCCATCAGAACCAGTTTTGTACAGCCTTCATTATTACACTCACACAGACATTTCAGTTTTCTAATTTTGGATGTTATGACAATTCCTCAAGGCTCCTTCAAGTTACAGGGCAGACGATTCAGTAGTTTCTCATTACCCTCTTACAATTAAGTTTGTATAACTAAAACAAGAAATAAGAAATGTCTTATTTTTCTTTCCCCATCCAACTTATTTTCAAGCAGTGTTGGCATGTTTCCAGATCTCAGCAATTGTTCAAGCACGATGTTCATATTATCAATAGGAAAAATCTACTACTACTAATGTGTAAAAGGAAGGAAAGTCCACTGTGGACCCGCTCACCTTGCGACTCTGGGGTTTCTATCTGGGAGGCCTGGTTCTTCTCTCTCCGCCTCTGCTTCTCATCCTCCCAGATGGCCTGCAGGCCAGGATTCCTGCCAATCTGACCTGAATACAGAGGAGAGTCACAGCAAAGTGTGTCAGCTATCAATACTATCATACTTTATTATTGTCTGTATGAGGAGTTTTTAAACCTACAACAAAGACGTTTTCAGCTTTTATAGCAAGCAGGACTGAAGAATCAAAGTGATGCCAGACTTGAACCATAAAATTCAACCCATACATACTGTAGTCCTTTTTTCAACAGTGCAGTTTTTGTACACTGTTACAGAGCAGATGGAAAAGTATGAGTCAGAACACAAGCACTGCCTGCCCTGGCATGGCCTCTCCTTTCCTTTCTTCACTCTAAGACAGATGCTAGTTGTGGTTTACGGTGCTACGTCCAGCACGATCTAAATCATAAAGACTCGCTGAATACTTACAGCCTGCATGCAAGTACTGTCTTAAACGCACAAACAAAACATTCTGCATAAACTGGCTGTAGTGAGGTAACCTGAGGCCCTCATCCTGACAAGGACATGTGTACTGAAGGTTCTTTTAAAGCTGCAACAACAAACTCTGCACCCTTGTGGCTCCAAATGCCAGTGAGAATTTACCCGCTGGAGAAATGTTTCACTTTAATACCAAGAACCCATGTGTGTCAGCTGTAAACTGCACGCTCGTGTTTACCAGCACAGTCGGTCTGTGATGGGCTTAGACTGAAGGGATAAAAAAGGCAAAAGATCAAATACTAGTGACCCCAGTTCACTTAAAACATGCTGTTTGTTTAAGAGCAGGGTTCAGTTTGACACTGTGGACAAAGATTATTTTCCCACCTAAAGCCAGAGAAAAAAGCATGTCTTTGGCATTCCAGTTAGGGAGGGGAGCACAAAAAGATGGGTGTACTTTATTAAAACCATGCCTTGAGGCAAGCTCAAGGTTGGGCTTTCTCTTTTCCTCACCGTCTAAAGCCCAGTTCAGACCAAAGATTCACAAGGAGACTAAACCGTTTTAATGCACTCCAGTGGTGTGAACTGGCTCAGCTCAAGCTGACTGACAACACTGCCTCTTACTCAGCTAGTATCCAGTGGCTGGTTTTAGAACTTAAAGCACATCACCTGTTTCATGAGCCAAACAGCTCCAATCAGAAGTGAAGTCTGTTACCAACTGTCAGTTGGTCAAAATAGACATTTTAATAACATTTACTCAAAAAATCAGCCATCGCCCAAACAAATTATCAGCCCTCTCATTGTTTTATGTTTACGGTGTTTCATCAGTAAAATACAGCCGTAGCATGTAACTCACTCTCACTAGCTGAATCTCTGGTCTGAACTGGGCTTATGTATAAAAAAATTCATGTATATAAAATATAATATGTTTATATATTAAAAACATCAACAAAAAGGCCAAATACACAGTCACTAAATCCTGAGGTTTAAGCGAACAGAAGCAATAGTTGCATCCGTCCTGTGCATGGCTTCGTCAGATAACACCATCTGCTATATGGGAAGTTCTTACTTCAGTGAAATATCCCTCCATCCTGGATTCTCTCATCTCGCTTAATCTCTTCCTCTCTGTGCTCCCCTGTGACAGGAGGTGTTAGGTCAGCTCCACAGTGTTTATGTTTGGGGCTGCTAATGGATTTGATGGGTGGAGGAGATCAGAGGGAGGTGCTCTGAGCAGCTGTGCTCCATCAGTCACCTCAGCCAAATGTGCTGCACTTTAAGCACAGATGATTCAGCAGATGACCTTTCACCTTTCTTACCCCCTGACTCATTCCTATAACTGTGCCAGAGCAGGCAACAATACTGGAGAAAACTGGTGGAGAGATGCAGCAGGTGGGGATGTTGCTCTGAGTGATCTTACTTTCAATTTCTAGGCGGTTGAGGACGTCTATGGCCACAGCGTCGACCTCTAGCTCGCAGGTGCTCTGCTTCTCCACCTCATCCAGGACTAGGGAGCTAGTGAGAACAGAAAGAAAACAGATTATCTTCCAAAATGGGAATTTAAACCAATTATAGGGTATTTAAAACCACAGGAAGTTACTAGTAATTGGACAAAATATTTATGGATGCAAAGTGGAATCTAAATCTAATGAATCATGCATTGAAAGACCTATTTTCATCTCAGAATGGATAACTGAGAATTTCACCTTTTCACCAATGACCTACTCCATTTGATGAAAAGAGATGTGTGAGAATTGTCTCTTGCAGCATGAGGGAAATTCAGAAAAAAACAAAACCCTGTAGTCAGCTTTGACTGTCGGGATATTTACTAAAAGCGAATGCAACAGGGGCTGCGCAGGTGGGACTCACCAGGGTATGGCGTTCTCCTCCCAGCGGACAAACGTGCACCCCAGGGTGCTGTCGTTGAGCTTGGAGGTGCAGGGGCTCTTCCAGGGGCTGATGCTGGGACGACTGCTGGGAGTTTGCCTGTCTGGGAGCGCCCCTGCTGCATCTTCTGGAAAACACGCACACAGACACACGCAGGCACACAGTAGAGTAAATGGTACGGTTTTCTAGTGACAAGTCTGCAATACGGCAACCATCAACTGTGTCTGACATGGGGAGATATTAAACATCCATGTTAGTATGAGTGTGATTATTTTATCATCTGCAGTGAATGAATAGAGTAATTCTTCTAGTTATTTCTGGAGCTTTCATCTGTCTTCCTCAGATGCTGAAATCTGCTCAGTTATCATGGAAATGCTTCAGCTGTCACCACATGAAAGGTGATATACAGTATGAAGATACAGTGGGGAGTGGTCTCTGGTGTTAGTAGGGAATGTTCTCTTAAATATTTATTTTGTCCACTGACTCTCAATCGATGACCTTTGACCTTTTCAAGAGTGCTACGAGTGGTTTTGTTCTGGTGTTCAACACGTGATGTCATGCAGGACTCCAGTCTTCTCTTTAGGGGGGATCCTGTGCGTACCAGCAAAGATCTTAAGATACTGAATGATTTCTCCAAGGTTGATCTCCTAAGTTCTATACTTATATGAGATGTGGCTGAAAGTAGGCCTGTCACGGTAACTACTTCTGTTGGATGATGCATTGTCCCAGAAATTATGGCGATAAATTATTTTATTGTCATTTTAAGCCACTGATGTAAAGATTAGCATAATTATTAAAAAGAAAATACAGACATTGGAATGTGAAAAATATTTAAATATCTTAAATAAAAAAAAAAGTTTATGCGATGCACCCAAGTCTTATAATGGTTGGCAAAACCCATGGTTTTTCCCTGGTATCATGTTAACTAAAATGATGGTGACATTCTTCATGATGTGATAATTTCATGTAGTTTATGTTGCACGATAAAGCGATAATGTAATTATTGTGACGGGCCTTGTTGAAAGCTTGGCAAAAGCATAAAAAAAGGGGACCTTAAGATTTCTTTGTCACACTATTGTTTCCAAGGTCAGAATGAACCTCCATAATCAACATTTGGAAGTCACTGACATCCACCTGAAATTAGTTTTCCAGTTCTATAGACGTTGTTTAACGCTGTAGAGATCTGTAAACATGGCGTCATGGCAACATAGCTACAGCGAAGTCTGGCAGGGCAAGAGACAACCAGCTGATCAGAAAAGTTGTACACAAGCTAGCAGGTTAGCCAGATTATCTAAACCACTTTACCTGGGGGAAAAGTAAGCACACTTGAAATGTTGGCAAACTTTTTGTTAGACAGGTCAGGCAACTTAAGGCTTCTATCCATCTCAAACTGGCCCATTTTACCAGCAAGCCCCTTCTATCATTCTCCCACTTGATCCCAGATTAAGAATTTGCTTTCAACTCTGAGCTTGAGGGGAGAAGAAAATGCAAACAGGTGTACCCTTTATTGGGGTATTTTAGTTTCTTTGTTGTACGGGGCATTGGAGCCCTCTTTCAATTGATTGCATCAGTGTAGAGGTGGATCAAACATGGTAGCCCTGCTTTTGTTGGAAGAGAGTCAAGCGTGAGGACTTTGAAAAAAGAACTTTGTTAAAGTCAAGTGTGGAATTTCCTGTCCTGAATCATTAATGCCCTCACATGTGGAGGCGGCCCTCCTGGGCTGGATGCTCTCTGGGAGTGCGGGGAGAGGGGCCTGATCGGCAATGATGAGCAGTGGTACTGGTCTGAGATTAGGACTAAGCTGTGATCAAACAGAGTTGGCAATCAGGGGGTTTAGTCTCCATCAGGAGGAAGTAGAGTTGGGCTTGTGAGGGTCAGGTTCACCCAAGATCTGAGGATGAAACCCCCAGTCTGCCACTCCCACTGTGAGGCCCCGTGATGGTTGGGTTCACTGCCTGAGGGGCAAACTCTGTGTCCCCACTTCTCAAGAGTCAGTACTCACTTGAAACATATTAATGTGCAGATATCAAAAGCCCATTTGTGGATCTGGTGTAGTTGGTGGTAGATGGTCATTCTGAGCAATACTTCAGTGGATTACTGGATAATGGCACATTAAGTTTCAATCTCTAAATTGTTTTAAAGACGTTATTACAGAGTGCTGCAGGGATGAACAACCCGGAAGTTAGCATCGCTCTGGTACCTTCGACAAAAAAGCCTTTTCCATTGGATTTTGGATTATTGCAGAAAATAAGCTCTGTAGCAAACAAAGTTTTATGATACTTACACGTTTTGTTCGGCAAGATAATCTTCACAAATTAACCCCTTATGATTTTTGAAGCAGTAATGCAATCACCAGAGGCAAACCTAATGTTATAAACAAACTACACCATGGTTGCATGACTTCAAGGTCAAAATTTTAATTTACAGGTTGGAAAGTTTTAGTTAGAATATTTTTCAAAGGGCAAGCATATACACAACGAAGCTGTAAAGGCAGAATAGTGAGTAGTTAAGTCTCTGTGTTCAGTGTGCTGACGTTTCATGTAATTTAGCCACTTGTTAGAAATCACCTTTTTAAGACAAGTAAAAGCTCAAAATTTCACAGGTGGGGTATTTACTAATGGATTTTATGCCGTAGAACAAAATCTCTTGTATTAACCACAGACCTTATTTCAGGCATCTAACCAGAAACCCATTTAAAAAACCCACTAACTCAGACAGGGGATTCGAAGGTGCAAAACTCTTTTCCAGGTTTTAAATTATAAAGTAAATTTTTAAATGCTCAAAGTGACCCCACCTCCACCCCTCTTTAATGGAACTTAAAATACATGTGCATGTTCAATTATTTATGATAAATCTGAATATTATAATGAAATGGACACTTAATACAATCCATTATTAACAGAAACAATGTACACAAATCTAAACTATTTTAATGTTGCTGTGGGACAAAGTGAGACTAGCCTCCAATCAAATGCCATGTATGTTTATATAGTGGATCGATACAAATAACACAATAGATGTTTTGGAACTTTTTATATTTATTGCCCCTCTTGTTAAGCACTATACCAAAAATAAATAACAAATATATACACACTCTTTGTAGTGCAAATAAAACAAAAAAAACCTTCAGACAATTGGTAGATATACTGTACTTAAAGTATTTTCTTCCTTGAAAAAGTAGAACAGTGTAACAATATGAGGTGCTTTGGTGGTGCGTGTATTGCAAAACTAAAGAATACAAATATAAACAGGTAATACATAAAAAAAAATATCTCCATAAAAATAAATCTCTTTCTCTGGCCATTGACAATCTCACTTTAAGAGGCTGCATCCAGCCAACAAATAAATCTAAATTAAATTATGCTCTTTAAGCAATGTACCAAAAATATATTCAAACAATATATATACACTCTTTTTAGTGCAAATGTAATAAGATGCAACACAACTCGCCATACCTGTCTCTCGTTGACTGACTCGCTTGTGTTGTTCGTTGTGTGTGCGTGTATGCGTGCTTTCGAACACCCGCCCAACTCTACCTCTGACTGGCTTACCATGAAATTTTACTCAGCCAATCGTCAGCATTTATGCGCTTGCCTCGTGCACTGCCCACTAACCAAGGAAGAACAGTAAAAAAAAGTCTTGGCCTCTCCACTCAGAGATCTAGTTGGTCTGATAAAAAAAAAAAAAACAGCTTCAATTATAGTAACGCGCCACATTTTTTGGCAGTAACGGTAACAGCGTTATTAAGATGGGAAGAGTAATCAATTAGATTACTCGTTACTGAAAAAAGTAACGCCGTTATTAACGCCGTTATTCCCATCACTGGTAATAACTGCTGTTGGTCAAGGGCTTTAAAGAATGTACATGCATGTTTCTTGTTAATAAATACATTTGGAAGCAATTTTTAACTTTAGTTTTCATCCTTGCATTAGAGTAATAGCATTTAATGTTTTAATGTTACTGTACATTGTGAATATTGCACTGAAGCTTGATTTGAAGGAAATCTTGAATCAAATCGAAATCGCAATATCTGCCAGAAAAATCACAGTTAGATCTTTTCCTAAAATCGTTCAGCCCTACACAGTACTACAAGTAGAGGAGCATCATAAGGTCAGTGACCTGACACAGTAGTGTCAGTAACAATATCTATCTATGTATAGTTTGCTAACTTGAGCTAACTTTAGCCACCATAAGCTACTGGTCATACCAGACCAAGTAAGGCAGTAGCAGAGTGTGTTGAACTGAGCAGTGGTGTGTTTTTTTCCTTATTATTTCTAAACAGAAGACAAAAGTGATGTTGTGCTGCTTTAAAGCTACGTATTTTCAATGAACCCTGGCTCAAAGGGTTATGTGTAACATAAAAGAGGTTGCATGTGGTGACGGATCCACAGAAACGTATCACCCAACTCAGCCTGATAGGTACTCCCAATATTTTTTTTACATTTCCCAAAGTGAAGCATGCAACTTGCATCAGTATTATGAATGAAAGTGTTCTTTGTGTGTCTCTGTATTGTCACTCTGCAGGGCTGACAGACCTCCAAAGGACTCAGCTCCAAGGACCGCAGGCAAATACAAGAAAGAGAGAACCTTGAGACTGCAAAGTGCCTGCTACTGACACCCAATGCTTGTTCTTGTTCTTTCCTCACACCTTTTGCTTCAGTTTTTTTTCCTCCAATCTTGTGGTTCTGTAGGCGCTTCTTGAATGATTTTCAGGAGGCAGTGTGTTTCCACTAGATTAGACTTTTGTCTCCTCAGCTAGCAGCAATGAAAAAAATCAAAATGTCTAAAATGGACCAGGAGAGAGATGCAGCAAGCAAAGAGAGAAAAGACAATGACAAAATAAATGCAGATAGGTCAGAGGAAGTAAGTAGAAAGAGAGAGACAGAAAAGAGTAAAGAGCACAAGACAAAGCATGTGGAAAGAAATAAGGGGGCAACATTAGAGATGAAAACAGGGAGAGCTTTCAAAAAGGCAACAGGGGCATCCTGAGGCTGAGGTGAGATCAGGACTAATTCGATATGACACGAGGCATGGCAGCCTTCCCTGGCCTGCTCTCCATCCCTGCTGAGCCAGGGGGAACAATGCAGTGAGCAGGAGGAAACCTGGCTGTCCACACTGTCCAGCAGAGACAAAAACAGCATGGAGTCCTGTGTGACGGCAGACGTTGGCCACTTGCAGCACAGGGGCGTACCTAGACACATGTAGCCTAAGAACGGCCCCAAGGCAAGAGGAGGTAGGGGATGAGGGCAAATGTCAGATCTAATGAATACTTCTTTGTTTATGCTAAATAGCCAAAAGGAAAAGACTTAAAACATCTGGAATACAGGGGGAAAAAACACCTGGCAAAAAGAAGGAAAATCTAAATGGGGGATGAGTTTTGGGCCTTCTTTCTTTGTCCCCTTACCTTTTTTCTGGCCTCTGCGGAACTTGACAGCCCCCAAGTTAAGCAGGTTCATGCCGTACAGGTTGTAGTCTATGAAGAGCTGCAGCAGGTAGGGGATGTGGCCCTCGTGGGGCTGGTAGCTCTTGTTCATCACTGCTCCGTTCTGTAACAGTTCACACACCCTGCAACAAACAGAGCTTGTTCCATCATAAAACATATCCATCTTGATGTAGAAAAAAGACATTCACTGATTGGAGAGAACTATATACATTAAGCAGTCATTTCCCCTCAGCTACACAATAATAGGTTGATTTGGTGTAGCTGAGATGGCATAGATTAAAGGATGATTAGCATCTCCCTTTGAAATCAAGGGGTTTTGACTGCTACCAGTTTGGCTGCTAGTCTGTGGCTGGGGGAAGTTAAGAAAGTTTCAACTTTTACAGTCAACAGATTTTCAATGATATGACTAGCTGCCAGAACCTCAGCGAGAAAATGATGCATGGGAACATATCACATCACAATAAACGGCTACGTTCTGCTCCAAAATAACAGGAATTTGAGAAACTAATAGCCTGGCAGGGTCTATAGCCGAGCATAAAATGAGGTGCTCAATCCAAAGTGCCGACAAGCCTCAAGCCCATTTTACTTTCTGGAAAGTTATCATTGTGACAGTGGTTTTATCTTCCATCATGACAATTAAGTTGAGGTAATAAGTAATGTTAACCATGTTAAATGTAGGTCTGCCCAATTGATTTTTAAAATCAATATCCAAAAATAGCAGAAGCTTCAGTGTTTTGAAAAAGGCAAAATGTGTGACAGAACAGCATTATAATGAAGTACTGTAGTTCTGAAGAGATGCCCTGACCTACAAATCTTGTTCTCCACATTTAAGAAAACATAATTGTTTGGTACAGGCCCCAAAAGATTTGGACTGGTTCTGCAATGCAGGTTTTTGTTAGTCTCTAATTGTTTCCAACAAGATTAGCAACAAAAGCTGTGAGAAAGTCCTGTGAGTCTGCGTTACACGTAATCTACCAGGAATGTGTGCTTGCATGTATTTGAATACATGTGCTGAATGACGCTGTGATGTGTTCTGGAAGATGCTCAATTGTCACAGCATGGCTAACACTGGGCCATCCGGACATTGTTGAACCGGGCTCAATGTTTGCTGCAAAGCAAAAGTACATCATCACATTCCTGGGTGATTACTTTGTAATGTGATTCCTGTGCTTCTACTGCTAACCTTGTGATGTGATGCAACAACCTAACTTTCCAGAGTTGTAAAATCCTGTCTGTATTACAAACTGTTCTGCAGTGTTTTGGCAGCTGATAAGCCTTTAAATACATTAATCTGTTGCTCTAATGGGACTTCCAAGGTGATATTGGTGAACACTCACATTTTTCAATGTTTCAAATGCAAGATCTACTGTAGTTTCCGACATAATCGAGAGTCACATCAGTCATCTTCTCAGACTTGACAAAGCTGAATGTTTTTGCATTTTCTGTGCAGTTTATTGTGATGTGCTCTATGTAAAAAGACCTTCAGAATTAGAAAGCGCCTCAGAGCCACAGAAGACATTATACAATTGTTTTTAAATGTCAAAGTCAATTTGACATTTAAAATCAGTGGAGTGCCTCTTTAAAATAATCAATGAAAAGGGACAAGCTGTTTTCTAGAACCATCCTCAACCATATAAATCGTTGCATTTACAGTACTTTGCTTGGCAGATAAAGATGAATGGGGAGCGGTTCACTGTGTGAATGTTTAAGCTCTGTCCTGGAGTCATGTTTCCCCTTTAAAGGTCAGAGCAGCGTGCTGACTGAGTGACTGACTGATCAGAGACAAGGGGCTGAGGAAGGATGCAGGGCAGCCAGACCTGCCACTCAAACCCTCCTCTTTTTATCCTTCTCCTTTCCCTCAGCCTCTTTTTTAACCTCAGCTTCTTTCTTGCCTCCCCTTCTTCAGCTGCCCTATTACCCTGAATCTCTCTTCATTGCTCTCAGTTATGTTCTTTACCATGTTTTTCCTCTTCCTCAGTCACCCCCTATTTTAGTCTGCCTTTCCCCTTTCTTAATTTCTCTTCTTTTTCCAAATTCATCGTTATATATCATACACTCCTCAAGCCTCTTGTTGTCACTCTCTTTCCCTCTCTCCCTCTGTGTGACTCACCCGCTCTCTGCCAAGTACCAATACAGCATTGCAACTCCACTACCATTGTCGCCGCTAACACTGGTCGCTCTGGCAAATAATTCATAGTCTTCCTGTGTGCTTCCATGCACACAAACACACAGACACTCAGCCAATCAATTTGTACAACTGAATACACAGTAATCGATTTCAGTTTAGTGAGCTGGCGGAGTCATGCGCACACAGTCTGGCATTCAGTCACATCAAACAGCTGGAGCTCGGGATGATCCCCTTTCACATTAAACCGCATCGATCTGCAGAAACCTTACCTTTTGACCATCTGAGGATTGTATAGATAGATCTTCATGAAGTGCTTCTCCTTAGCGTGGTAGCCATAGAAAGGCCTGTAAGATAAGAAAAAGACCACACTGAATACGACACACTGCACATAACCCTGTATCATTCATTGTAAGGATTTGAATCTATTCATTATTTAAGTTATTTTATGGATTTTAGCAGTCATGTTGCACACTGCTGTTTGGAGAAAACCTTGACTCCATTGGTTCAGTTGTGTTGGTATTAGAAGAAATCATGTGTCACTCACATTCCAGAGACAAGCACCACTTTGAAGACGTGCTGGGTGCTGGAGGCGGGGTTTCCCATGGCAACGTTGAGGGCCCTGTCGATGCTGAAGGCCACCTGCCGCAGGTAGCGCTCTGGCTGTTGGCTGTAGCCATCGTATGGCACGTAGATGTAGGGGAATATGCCATGGAGGTGGAGACACGTTTTTTGCCCTGCAACACAACAACAATAACAATAATTACTATCATTGGTAACACCTGTGTTTAGCCTACTATTTCATGTCAAAACGGCTGCTGTGAAAAGGGTCTATTGAGCAAAACTGAAATAAAAACAACTGAAGTTTTCAAAAGAAATTATCATTTTTTTCCAACTTTTTGTGCTTTTGAAAAGGACCATGACAACCAACAGACAGACAGAACATGACTGCTGTGGTAAGGACTCATGTAAGGAAGCACAAAATCTGTGCCCACTGAGACAATAGAGTGCCAACTCCAAAAAAGAGAAAAAACAAACCCAAGGCAGCTGATCAAACTTTAAATCCAGATCAGGCTCCATACCAACCCTTTATAATATGAGTTAACCCACTGTACTCATTTTGCCACACTGAACACACACATAGGCTGAGCAGCTGTGGCCTCAGATGCGACTTCTTCTACAGAGCCTACTAAACCAACTCACAGGGTGCAATTGAGATGGATGGAGTGTGCTGAGGGTCCATAGAACAGTTTTTTCTCCCCTCCTGTACACTTTCTGACCAATCACTGCAAGGCAACACAGATGGATGAGTGCGACAACAGGTTTGCAATGCCATGATATATGACAGACATGCAACACAGTGTTAAAGCAGGTCAATAGCTAAATAACTTAAACATACAACATAAACCAAGCAGAAGCATCGCTGGGGATTATGGGTGGTGCGGAGTAGAGGGGATTGAGGTCTTGAGTGATGTGAAGTGAGGTCAGTCGGTGCCAAGAGAGAGAGATACAGTATTTATAACAAAGGAGCGTAGTGACATCACCACTCCCAGACAGAAACGCACTGCTGAAAGTCACCTGAGGTGAACTGTGCTGCAGACACCATGCTGCCAATTATTCCTTTTCTGGCATTATCAGCCTGGGTATTTATCTGCACTCTGCTGCTGCAGCCTGCACTGTGCTTAATCAGGCTACATGAGGGAAAATAGGAGTAGTGTAAAAACTAAGACAACAAAGGCTGAGCCACACAGAAATCTGACTCTGTGTCCTTATCTTGCACCAGTGACAGGCTGACAGACAGTCGGACAGGAGGAGGCAGTGTTGAGCAGGAGTTTAACACTTGCCCAAACGTGTCTGCACATGCCCAGAGACATGCCTACCTTCCAAACCCTCATCTGCTGGTAGCAGGGCTTCAGGAGAGGAAGGTTCTGGCACTGCTCCTGCACCACATGCATGCACGCATGCACAGCCTGCCAATTCTCCATCCACATGCTATGGTATGACAGATGCTGTGTGCGACGCAATGCCACAGTCCCCTGGGCATGATTGTTGAGATTGCTGGACCCTAAAGTGGGGCTTCCAAAAGAGGAAGAAATATTCTCTCTGCACAGCGATACATATGACTGCCTCCAAACTGGAGGGGAGGGTGATGCAAGATGAGATGTGGTGCTGAAAGACAATGAGCTTCTCAGAGCAGAGCTTGGTGTGCGACTGAGCCAGACGTCTACAGTACTGTGTAAGAGCTCTGCTAAGATTGAGGGAGCAGCATATGCTGGGGCTCACAGGCACAGCTCCCTGTGGAAGAGGGGCAGGTTTGTGGGCAGGTCAAGGGGGGGGGTTGGCACACCATCATTATGAGATAAAACATTACATTTACATTTTTCTTTCCTTCCTTGGAAATGAAATACTGTTAATGTGAATGCCATGCCGATAAAACACAAAACACTTCTCAGATGTCAGGATTTTGTGGTTTTCTTCATCATTGTAGATTCAATATCTTTGGGTTTTAGTCAGACAAAAGGAGCGACATGAATACATCACCTTGGGATCTGGCAAGCTACGCAAAGGCATTTTTCACTGTATTATGATATTTTATCCCTAGTCTGGTCCTTAAAAGGCAAAATGAGTTATCAAGCTTGGTCAAAACTCTTCCTTCCATGTTGCTACCGTGATACAAGCAACTTGTACATACGCAATGGATGGTTGTGTCCCAATCTCCTTTATGGGAAAAGGGGTTTTAAATATTTCACTAGATAGTTGTGTTATTTGTTGGTTATTGTGTTTTTGCAAACTAATCACATTTGGGAAGGTTTGAGTATAATCTGATGGCATTATTTATTGGTTAGGTTATTTTGTGTCCGTTTCACCAACAACCTCATAGATTGGTTGGTTTCTGTTCAGTAATGAGCTATTTGTCAGTTCTAATAAACTATAATCTTAAATACAACTATTTATAAATTCAAATGAATAATACAATACAATGTGCAATGCATCCTTTATTGAAGCTAATAAAAACAACAGTCTCTCTCTCTCTCTCTCCCTCTCCCTCTCTCTCTCTCCCTCTCTCTCTCTCCCTCTCTCTCTCTCCCCTCTCTCTCTCCCTCTCCCCCTCTCCAGTTGCTAGGCAACGGCAAAGCAAAAGCCCCTGACGGGCAGTGGGAGAGATAAACAAGTGATTCTTTCCATCCAGCTGGTCAGGCCACAGAAAGAGACGGACGGAGAAAGTGTGCGTCTGAGAAAGCAAAAGAGTCAAAGAAACAGGAAAAATGATCAGGAGAGAGAAAGTGTATATCTGCATGGGAGGGAAAAGGGGGAGGGGTGAAAAGACAGAAGAATGCATTGCAGACAACACAGGTGTAATAAAGATAGTATGCATGTTTAGTGTGTTGTGAGAGGGAAAAATATGAGGGGAGAAACGTGTGCACTGAGCAGGATTTCTTGTTTCAGAAAGAAAGAACATCTGCTTCAGTTGGGCGGCTCATCACTGGGATGTAGTCAAACTAACTGGGCAATTAGCCAAGAGCTGTCCCTTAAATGCACCACAAAGTCCAAGTTAAATGTGACGATATTGATTTTTAGGTGATATCGGCTGAACCTGCTCTTCTCCTATCAACTCTTTGCATGCATCTGCGAGCACCTTTGCCATTGTTCTGCAGAAAATTGTAATAATTTTTTGGGGGGGTGGGTCAGCTTTTATTGCCTTTAATCTAAAGGCGGTAAGGGGGGGGGAGAGAGAGGGGAAGACATGCAGCAAAGGGCCAGAGGTGGGACAAAAGATAATGAATTTGTCTTTTTATTTTAATTATATATTAAGGGGTAGCTTAAGCGGATATGAAATAAGTAGAAAGATTCCGGCCGGCAGTTTCAGATCCCTGTACTACAGGATTTGTGAATGAGGGAGGGAGAGCAGGAGGGAGGGGCTGTGACAGCTTCAGGTCCTTATCTCTGGGGGGAGGAGCATTGAGATAGAGGAGGTACACTCTGCCAAGTGCCTCCTCAATCCCTCCCCCAAACCCTCCTCGTGGTAATCTGCACGGCAGCTCCGTGACTCAGCATCCCCACACCACCACTGGGTCAGTAAGTCAGTCAGCCAGCAGCGATCAGCCACTTAGCCGAGCAGACAGCTGTTAACCTGTTGTTAGCCCACTAGAGCATAGACAGATACTGAGATACAGCCACTCAAAGTTCACTATACAGGAAAACTATTCAAACTATAACTAATCAAATGACACACACACACACACACACACACACACACACACACACACACACACACACACACACACACACACACACACACACACACACACACACACACACACACACACACACACACACACACACACACACACACACACACACACAGGTTGATGGTTGTGAGGATTAGATCAGCTAGCTAGCATGACAGAATATCACTCATCAACAGAAAATGAATCCACAACAAATCTGATGATCCATTTATCTTTTAAGTTGTGTGTCCACCAACATACCTGATGGTACTACAGCCATATAAAGCTTTGGTAGGTGGAATCAGTAGATAAAAACAATTGCTGTTTACTCCTCATGTAGTTTATTGAGGACCTATTTGAACTACTGAACAGAGCTGCAGTTCATTTCAGCCCCCATGTATAGCTGTGTTGCTGACAGTACAGCTGGTTAGGAGAACGATGATGGCTGAACGGAGACTGGCATCAACAAATGGATGCTCTGGTAGCACTTGTGTGTCTCACATCTGGAGTGAATTTAGAGTCTATATTTCTGTTTTATCAATATTCAGGTTTTAGCCTTTAAAAGGGGCCCTGCAAACCTATGGTACACTAACACCGGTCATTCATTCATTTATTATTTTTAGGGATACGCATCCTATCGGCCTAAAAGGACCACTTCTGATGATTATCAAGCCGATACCATGATATGCAAGTTGTCTATGGTGTGGAAGTTTTTAGTGTCTGAAACATATATTGGCATAGTAAGTTGTTTTTTGCGATGATTACTCAGGAGGAGTCAAATGCATTTCTTCAACACTACATTGCCCCTCTTAAGAGCCGTCGTCCAAAGAGAAACAAAGAAAAACAAAACAAAGAAAAACAGGCATCAGCTAAAACAGTAAACATTCAATTTTTTCCCCAAACGTGATCATGTTGAAAAGCATTGTATTTTATGCTTGCAACTGGTAGTGGGCCTTTACTATAACAGTAGAGATAATAATATGTTAATTCCACTACAGGGGAGACTTTATGTTCTCTGCAATAAGTGGGGGAAAAAATATATGCATATATTATGCATTCCTAATCTTTTTTTTGGCTGATTGTAGAGTAAGTCCTTTACTGACATCTCCCTCACTTGCCTTTTAGCTATGTTACATCTTAATAAGGGAGAAATTACACCTTGATTTCTCACATTTGTACTTTGAGTTCAGTGACCTCATGTAATTCCATCTCCACCCCCCTTCAACTTCAGCAGAGGTCTAATCAGCCAGTATAAGTGCAAACACCAGTGTGGGTGTGCAGGGCCTTTAAGGTGGTACACAGAAGTCACACAGACGTGACATTCTGCTCTCAAGTGGCAAGGTTTCCTCAGGATGAGAGCAGAGAGTCAGCACTGGTCATTAGTCATGAGTCATGCTGCTAACTTTTTCCAAGGCTGTCTGTTTACTCTGTCAGCTGCTCTGCCTGGTAACCAGCCGTAGTTCAAAGCTTCAGTTCCAGTTAGAGCCCTGCTAGTTATGAGAAAAGCA